GCTGCACATATATGGAGAAGAGAACGACTTATTCTTTGCAGTGTAGGAGGGTTTCCAACCTAATAAAGGCAATCAATCAACGCATCTAAACACTTTCATCACAACTTCTAGACACTAGCTCGTCTATTATACCTAATAGGCAACGCTGACTACGTAGCGTATCCCGCAAACGTTAAGGGTCGGCTTGATTTGGCCTGGTTACCGCACCCCTGGTCAAGGTTCTGGGGTTAATTCCTTGCTGGATCCCTTCGCGTCGCGACTTACATACAAGTACAGCTACTTCACATCACGGCTCACGCCATAAAAAGTCGTGGTAGCGGTGTCCGGAGTAAATAACCGCAGTACTAATATCATCCGCGATCATATACACCCATTTCTTTAATATAGCAAGCCGGGATAGGTGATAGTTTGACTGCATTTATCCATTGGCGCTCCCAGGAAGGCATTGTGCAGTGCAGCCCGTTGATCAGAGTTTCGGGTCCCCCCGTCGAACCGCTACCTTGGGATCTATCCGCCCGCCTTGTATTCCGTTACCGCATTCCCGTTCTAGGAAGGCTAGTGCGAACGGCTGGCGTCTATCAAATTTCATGCTTGGACGCATTAAGTTACCAACAGCAGCAATAAGGCCAGCGGAACGGGTTTTAATAGCATTAGCAAAGCAGGGCAGGGCAAGGCAGGTTTAATAGGTGTCCCCCCCAGGTGTCCGTCCAAGGAAAGCAGCGGTGTGAGAACAAACTGGCGCACGCTAAGGGATAACCCTTGTCTAAACAAGGAGGGGAAATAGAAGCTGGGTGCCCAGAGCCTTGGGTCAAGCCATCGGCATCGTGATTAGCTGACGGCTACCCCGTCATCTGAACCCGAAGGACCTTGCACGCTTGCGTTGCGTGCATCAGGTGCCTATTAGCCCCAGCTTGTACAATCCATCCATCTAACGTGACCCCCATGCCCTGAGGGTTAACGACGGAAGTGAAGGATCCTGGCGGCATTGTAGAGGTACAATAGAGGAAGAAAAAGCATCCACGCGTACCTACACCACCCTCCCCAGACGTGCGGTGTTGTACTACGTACTTTGGAACTTGTCAGTTTAGGTCTCAACCGAACATCCCGTTGGCTGGATTAACATCCGGCAAGCAACCTGAAGCACAAGCTCGAAGGGAAAGGGGGGGTAGAAGAAAAGGGTAAAAAAACAAGGAAAAAAAAAGAAAAGAGAAAAGAACAGGAACGAGACGAAGAGGTGGAGGAGGAGGAGGAGAGGGAAAGTAATAAGATAATAATAATAACTAACTACAAGAAAGTCAAGCTGACCGCCCCACCACCAAACATAATAATACTGGCTGACTCGCATCGGCCAACCTTTTCAACCTTATCCAGAGAGTTACTCTTTCATCTACTCGATCCAACGATTACCCTATTGTATCGCATCTACAAATTGCATGCAGCCGTGAACTTTCTCGGCAACTTCACGGGGGCTCTCTGCGGTACATGTGCATCTAGCCCGAGCCCGGCAAGCCGATCAGCCTACCAACAGCCTACCCGAAGTGTTCCACGCCGTCGGGACAAGCCACGTTTGCATTATTTGAGAAAATCAGACGCCAGCCTCTGCAAAACCAGGTATCCTTAGATTCGTTCTAACATCCATCGGTCAGCCGGCTCTCTTACTCAATCCAGTTTAAGGAGAGCAAGCCAGCCCCGTCGAGTAGCAACAGTAATATAAAGGAATTGGATTTCTCACGATCACTTGCTAGCCTTGCGGCGCTTGGAACTATAATTACCTTTTTCTATCCTACTTAAATTCGTACGTCACCGCCAAACGGACCGAGCGAAAGGATCGGTTCGGCTAGAAATCTCTTTCTTCTTTTTTTTTTTCGCGCCGCATTGTTACCACGCGAGTGGCACAGTAAGAAGCCTTCGCGAACGCAACTAAAAATAACGAAGCAAGAAAAAAAAAACATAGGTTTTTTTTGAATATCCCCAGCGTGGCGCTCTTTTTTTTTTTTTTTAAGGCAGCCCCAAACAACAACAGAGTTAGCCGCTTTACATACGGTAGGCTTTACTTGCCTATCTGCACGGAAGACGCAAAACACAGCATCAGCATCGCCACAATATTTAGCTGTCTTACATTCTACTGGACACGTTAGCGCAATACAGTTTCGTAAATAATTTGTAAGTGGTACACATGACCTATAAACCTGCAATATACCTACACACGTATCTTGCCAACAAATACTTACATATTGGTATATAGGTTGAACTAATATATGTAAGTGAAAACCGAGTTTTATTTATTTCCGAGTTAATGGAAAGAAGTAGGTAAGGAAAAGAAGAAGAAAAAAAAAAGAAAGAAGAAAAAGGCTTACTGGTTTATTTTATTCTTTAAGCCCCAAAGCTATTTTCAACATTTAAAAGGCAAGCAATTGCTCAACAAGCGCGCACACGCCTAGAGATACACACAATACAACCATACTACGCACATAGGTACCTATATTGGAAAGAAGGGCGGTCATTCGACCGAATCAGATTGGGTCCTTCCTTCTGCGGCCCGTTCTGCGACCTGTTAGGCCTAACCGTTCTGACGGGATTCCGCCATTGCCCATTAGGCGTAAGGTACTAGCCTAAACCTGGACTTGATTGGAACAAAAACAAGCCCTTTCCAAAAGATCAATACCCCCGGCTCCAAAGGTTATTGTCGTTCCAATTGGGGAACATCATACTACATACTACAACACTGCACATATTGCATATATTGCACTTTCAACCATAACTCCCGTGCGACGCGACCTTCTCACCTTCTCTCTCTTCCTAGAATACATTCTCGTCGCATACTGCCGCATATCGTCCAACGTTTTTGAGGCTGGTACTGTGCGAAACAAATTATACATTTACCTAAAGCACTCGTCGTCGGATTGACTTCAATCGACCTCGTCGTTGAGTTTTCGGTGTAGCAGACACTCAGACGTACTCAGACAACTCTCTATCTCTTTTACACACTCACATACTCTCAACACACACACACACACACACCACACCTCTTAATCCATCGGTCAATCCATCTCAATCTCCGTCTCACTAAATCTTACCAACGCTTCGACAGCAACTGGATGAAACTGCCTTTACTAGTGAGATCATTCAGCTTTTACCTTAGCCACTCTACAAGTAGACAACTGTTTTTTTTTTTTTTGCGTTCGGTTAGCGACTCAATAGCCCATGCCAGGACGGTGCTATCGGTCGCCAACTCATCCACACACAGACACACCATCCTCTCTATCCGCAGTAGTTCATCCGCCGTCGGTTCCGTTATTTTTCATTCTGGTCCACCGGCACGAATCACCGCTCTCATTTGCCCACCCCGGAAAGGAACGCTGCCGCTAGTAGGGCATTAGCTCTACCTATGCGCAGTCATTCATTTGAGAGAGAAAAAAAAAAAAGGTACGTTTCTCTACTTCATTACTTAGCGTCTCTGCGTTAGTCAAGTACTACCTGAAACTTTGCACTTTACCTATCCTATGTCGGGCGCGGCAACCATCGCTCGAATCAACTTACACCGAGTCACCTGAGCGTTCTTGGTCTTTTCCAACGCCTCCACACTCAAAGACAACCTTCCAGTCTCCCAAGTCTTCTTAGTCGTCTATTCTCTCATTCCCGTCCCCATAAACCTTGCACCTGCGGGCCCCTGCTCCGCTCTCAAAACTGGCATCCGCATTGTTTTTTGTGTCCCTGTCCCTGCCCCAACATCTAGGTGAGCTAGGTGACTAGGCGCACATACACGCACATACGCCCACCATACGCAAATATACATATACATATACATATATACATCTACATCTACATCTACATCTACATCTACATATACTTGTATCCATGCGAGCTACGTATCCCCTAACGTCCCAGCTCGCGGTAAGTTTTGCCTGCTTGAACCCCCCCCAGCAATAAAGCTGGACTGGCCCTTCACGCAGCATCAACCTGCCTACATAAACCTACCTAACCTACTTGTTTGTTCATAATATTACTGTTGGTTGTTAGCTGGACTTATTGGCTAATTTTCCTACCTTTACAAGCTTCGTATCCTCAGACAACAGGTTAGTTCCGCTTGGAGTTGTATATCGCAGACCTCTGCGATGGTGTATATGCGTATGTGTCTTTTAATGAGATTCATGGGCTGGGCATGATCATTTCATCAATCCATCGCATATGGATGGATATTCTTCGTTATTCGTTTAGACCCTTCCCAAGCCCCCGTCTCATTCCCTGACTAAAACGTGTCTATATTTTATTATTTTTATCATTTTATTATTATTATCATTTTAGCTCCGCTACTTTATTTCACTCGGGTTCATTCCAGCTAACGGGCTAGCTAGGCTCTTCCAAGATTCTCTTGCAGCAGCCCCCAAGGGTCATCCCGCAATTAAATTATAGAAAACTGAAGACCCCGTCCCTTCCTCCCGGCACTACAGACTCCGCCATCTGTGCTGTTGTTAAGGTTCTTCCCCTTCCACCAACGGTTGGCCCCGCCATTCCACCTAAATTTATTGCGCCGTCATTCTACGTGCAGTTATTAACTTTTCTGCTCTCTCTTTCTCTATTTCCTTTACTCTAACACCATTACATTTCATCTTTTGCTTCTATAATTATTACCGGCATCGTCCCTCTACAAGCTCCTACTACTATCCAGTTACATGTGTTGCTAGTGGGCTCGGCAATCTCTCAAGAAATCGGTTCAGTATATGCCCATCGGACAGCTTATAGACTTGACACCTGTCACGACCTAGTCTCGTGGATTCTCTCAGTGTCCGAAGAAAGAAAGAAAATTTTGACATGGTCTTTGGCCGTTGTACTACTCTATCTCGAAAAGTGCGCGTTTAACAGAATAACATAAGTCAACCGGGGGACCAAGTCTCGAATCATACCTTGCGTCAGGCACCACTATAAATCACCTCCTAACTATTACGCGGTTACCGCTCTCGTACTTCGCTCCGGCGCCCCCAAGCGTCTGTTAACGTAGCATGGCAGAAGACCGTCGACATAGAGGACAGCAACCAAGTCACGACCAAAACGACGAGTCTCAGTATCCTCCAGTTCCCGGTGAGGAAGACGATCGTACGAGAGTAATTGCCTATCATTCCCGGCCACAAATGGCGTCAGGAGCAGTAAGATTGCCCTCTATGCAAGATCCCTATCCCCAGCCTGCTGGTGCTAGAGGTTGGGACCCAAGAAGTAGTGGCTACGGACCTTCACCTAATTCTACCAATGGATACCCTGCTCCGCTTGCCGCACCAGCGCCTTCAAGTACTGGCTACTCTCCGCCAACCGGTGGCAATGCCTACCCTCCTCCGGCTAGCCATCCGCCTTATCTTCCTCCAGTCCACACCGCAGCTCCAGATCCCAGAGCCAGCTATCCGCCTCAAGATCCCAGGGCACAATATTTCGCTAATTACAGCTCACCGAATCCTTACGAGTTCGCATACCGGGGTGACCGTAGTGCCGTAGGGCAATACCCCGAATTCGCGAGAGGTGGACCCGTGGGAGCTGCTGTGATGCAACAGTCTGCCCCTCGCCAGCGAACCTCCATTGCCTGTAGATACTGCAGAAGAAGGAAGGTAAGAGTGCACTATACGAATGGGCATATTAAAATGAGCTCTAAGGAAGACTAACAAAGGGCTTAGATTCGTTGCAGTGGATATCAGAACTCCCCAGGAGGAAAATGCACGAACTGTATCAAGATGAACCAAGAATGTGTTTTTCAACCGGTCTCGTCCTCTTCGTCCACCGCGTTTGTTCCTGTTTCAGCACTACCAAACGGTATTCCGCCGGGAACTCAACTATTTGGAGCATATGGTCAACCATTAGCAGGTCCATCAAGTCTTCCTTCGGGTGGTGCTTATCCGACTACGAACCCGCAATATGACCAGCCACTACCATCGCCTACTAACTCATACGGTTCTTTTTCGGAGGAGAGGTCTGATCCAGGAAGGCGGCGACCAAGACCTTCAGATGAGGAGCACGGCGTACGACTACCACCACCGAGCGCGTTTCCGGACGATAATCCTCGGCGGCGGTCCCCTTCGTCCAGCGGCAGCCCAAGTCACTTACAACCATTATCACAACTACAACCCCAGCCCGTGTCGTATACCGGGTACGATAGCAGAACGCCACCGCCGAGAGGCAGCCCATCCGGCCCTCCGGCAGCGCATCATAATACGAGCTCTGTGATGAGTCTGGAAAATATAATGGGCACTGGTCCTAGCCCTAGTAACGATATCGATCAGAAAATGCTAGGGCGTCTGAATCGGCGAACACAACAGTAAAGGATACTGGTTTCCACGGAAGCAAGCATACAGCGGAGGAATCAGCGGAACATGTTGAAAGAAAGACCTCGGGAGGGGTCGGGAAATTAGATGGCTGCTGGCGGCTTGTTCGAATGATAAATCAGTGATGAATTCTGGGTGTCCTAATCGGTTCCCAATCTATGAGGGTAGTGCATCTTTAGGCAGCATTTGCATTTCGTTTATTGGGGCGGCGGCTGCGAGTCTAGGGCGTATTACGCGGAAATGGGAGAACGGGGGCTGCTCGAAAGATTTCCTACCTACTCAGATCACTAGTTTGGCGACAAACTTCGATCATGGCATCTTTATCTATTTTCTACAGCGGTTCTACATATCGTTTTAATCTCTTAAAAAGACGCCCACTCGATTCGAATACGAGAAGGGATGAGAAGATTGGTTCGCCTCACGGCAAAAATCCGAATATTGGTGGTTACTTTTGTTTTTATTGCGCGTTTGATTTCTAAGCGTTGTCTTTTGACTTACCTTCATAGTATAGGTTATGACCTAGACGAATTAATGCTACCTTGCTGCTGTCTTCCAGAAAAAAAAACAAGGGCTTTTGAAAGTGACATTCAACGCGTTTAAAATACCATGTAGACCAAGGATACAGACAAAAACATTTTAGATGTTTTGCGTTACTCTAGATACCTAGCGGTGATATCCGCGGTGGCCTCTAAGAGACGGGTTAGTAAGGTATAGACAAAGACGTGGTAATTCGGTGCGGTAATGTCTACGGCCGAGGGGATAACGACGGGGTTCGAAGGTTCAGGGGACGATAATATAGGTGGCTACGCTGAACTAGGGCCAGCGGGACCCCCTTGGGGTGGATACAGGGGCCAAGGTTTGATAAGAAAAGGGCTGGAATTTGTTGGCAATTCATAGCCACGGATAGTATGGATAGTATGGATGGGTATGGATGCTACTGTACCACTTTGGCTCGTAGTCGCGGAAAGGGATCCGGCAGGTTCGCCGATTCAAATTTGACGTTGACAGCGGTATCCCGGTCGCCGTTGCGTTCTGGGGAGTTTAGCGACGCATTACACGCATACGCCAGCAACGTCGTGACCTAGTTACTGGCATTGCTCGCGCCTAGGCAAAGGAGGGGAAGGGGATGGTCCTTGCTCAACCCGGCATCCCCGTCGAGCTTGAGGCGAGGTGCAAAACCTCGTTGATAATATATTCTATGGAGACAGTTCTTTACTGAGATACGCAAATGAGCATTATTATTATTATAGCCTAGCCAAGGTAATATTCTTAGGTATATTTCCATGTAGTTAGTTAGGTAAGATGGAAAAGTAACGATATTATTTAGCTAGTTATGTTAGTTATAACTATGTATATTGAAACTTGATTCATCTCTTAGTTTTACTAACTGTAGTTAATGTAAAATGTAAAACAACAATAGGCATACATAGTAATTTCGCTCGACTACCTTACTACATGTTACATGTACCTAGATGATAACTGAACACGGCAAAGGCTGACCGGCTTCGTTGTGAAGTCGAGGCCGTGACATAAAAGCGTTCTAGCTCCCGCGGAGCCCCGACACGCGATGGAACCCTTGACTACGCAGGGCAGATGGCAGGATGGTAAACAAGGCAGACGAAGTGTATCGACTAGCTATTAGTCAGCCCCCCCAGAAAGGACAAGCTAACCGCTAGTTGGGATATATACTTCGTATTAACAATGTACACTTTTTTTTGTTTTTGCAAAACGCCGACTTGTGGGTTTGTTTTTTCGTAGCGGTTGAATTTTTTTTTTTTTTACTTTCTAGCGGGATTACAGAGTCGGGGCAATCCCTGGTGCACAGGCATAAAGACCAACATCCCAACGCGCACAAACTTACAGAATCCTTCGGCGGCGGCAGTGTTGTTGTGTATATAGATTAGGTACCTAGGTAAGTAGGCAGTGTACGTATGGAGTGTAAGACTTTACACCTTGCTGCTGTAGACTAAGGGGCTCGGACTTGAGGGGGATCGTTGTCTCGCCTTTTTTACAGATTTACATGCATAGGTACATACAAACTATGTAAGCTACTAGGTTAGGTAGATTAAATATCATAGGCCTTGTTTTATTTTGTGTTTCGTTTCTTCAGCTTAGCGTGAAGAATAACAAATCGAGTCATAACCGACAGACCTTGAGGAACAGGACTCCAGTTTATTACATATATGGTACCACATATATTGTAAGTATCAACGTATGTATGGTAGGTATTGTATGGTCTTATATTCAAGGCTAAGATCACGACTCCACGAACTATGTATATACATTGTGGGACGTAGCGGATGACGCCACGTACCGTACCGAAACTTTACGTTTGCTTCTTCTCCATCGTTCGGTTCGGGACTTTTTTCTCGCCTATTAATCCCTTCCCTCCCCCTTGGAAAATTGACTAGGTCGAGAACGTGGCCCGCCCTGGGAAAGCCATCCGGAAGAGCCTATCTGACACGCTGGTGCTGGTGCTGGTGCTGGTGCTGATGCGGGTTAAAACCAACGAGGCGGGATTCTTCCGCTGGACAAGGCACCTTTTGTAACTAAGCCCTCTTCTCTCCCTAGCTAGACTAAAAAAGCCTACTACATATTACTACTGTACACCCTGCCGTGTTGGAATTGGGGTCTGCGTAAGATTAATAATAATAACCAATCACTAAGACTAATAATAACATCTACCAGTCTTCAGATTGTAACCTACCGAATGTACATTTGTAATTCTTACAATTACTAACGAATTCTTGCAACATATGACTTCGTCGGTAAATTCTACCTAAGATTATCAAATTCTATACTTTAGATACACGGTGCTCAAAGACCAGTGATGCAAACTTAATGCTTATTTCGATAGTCTGAAGTCTGTTGATGTTTTTGCGATCTAAGGTAAAAGCTAATACTACAGTGCGCTCTCGGTGCTCTTCCACGGACGGACGCGTACGTTTCTATCCGAAGCCGAACTCCCGCCCCATCATCTCGATAGTAAAGTATATTCGATGGCCTTGGGCAAATACCTCCTTACCATGTATCTCGAATACTCGCTACAAATTCGATGGGCATCAGACAATACCAAGCTAGAATCGCATAACAACTAGAGTCGATGGTTTATTGAATACACCCGAAGCTTGGGGCAGAGCAAAGTCGAACAGTAGCTCCAACTAAAACGACAAAACAGTACCATAGCTCATACATAGCTCACACCAGGCTACGAACCGACCTTCCTTCGATAACTACGAGCTTCCCGCACGGATGCCGGGCAAAGGAAGAAAGCAAACTTGTAGGAATACAACTAAGTACATTAAGGAATAATTAGTAGTAAGGCTGGCGTTTTGGCTATGGTCATGCAGCATACAGTATTATAGCCTACGTGTTTTCCTAAAACATCAATGGGAGAGGCTCCTAAGCTATCACCGACTCGCAACTTCGTCGTTGCTTTCTCTACGTCCCCCATATTATATCAATGCCGGAAAAATCAAACAAGCAGTCCTTTGTGGATGGAGCCCAGATTATTTTACCTATTCGAAGAGCTAAGAGGGCTAGACGAACTCGATATTTGAGTCTATTGCATCTGCGCTTTTATTTAAGTAGAAGAGGTAGTTCCTCCTTTATCATTCCAAGTAAAATGAAGTTAGCACGCTTCGACTTTCTATTTGAATAATACTTGGAAGTGGGAAGGTCTGAGGATGTTTACACTAGTAGAAATATACTACATTTTCCCTCTACCAACCAGGCTAGGCTTGGTTTAAAGAATAATATCGTGTTCGTCATATGATTCATAGATCATCTACCTCGTAACTTATACGTTGGCAAGTCTACTTTAACCTTGCCTCAGTTCGGTTGGGATTAGAGTCCCCATAAGCAAGTTTCAATATACTGCCACGAGCCGTAGCTAGTCCTCTTGGTACAGAAAGGCAAGAATACATAGAGCTCGTCAATGAAGAGGGGTAAATGAGACGGTTCGGAATGACCCAACAAGCCCCTCATCTAGGTATAAATGCCTCTTAAGACTGTAAGAACACTACGTTACAAGAGGATCTTACCCTTCGGCGTTTTAGGCTAGTGTCCGGGAACCATTGCGGGAGATACTTCAAACAATAGAAAGGTACCTGACTTTGGGTTCGGACCGCTATGGCTTCAAAGAAGCGCCTTCTCAACCGTCGGGCAAAACCATAACGGAACGGACCAGATGTGACGTTTGACATGTATTCCTGAGGTGCCGTGCCGATTAACTAAGTGTTTTCGTGGCTAAGTTTATAAAGCAGTCAATGCTATGTATGTATGTATGTACCCCTTTATTGTTGAGTAAGTAGATGCCATGTACCATAAGTAAATAGGTAGTAGGTATCTTTATTTTGAGGTCAAGCGGTCTTAGCTGTATAGCAAGGACTACTTGCCTGCTATATAATCCTCGGCTGTTTGAGAAGATTCGCTAGTCCCTTAATAGGGGATGAGAAAGCAATTCCCTTGATAACTTATGCTGAGATCCTTAAGATTACCCTTCAGACTATGGCATTTACTCAACAGAAACGTCTACCTATCCAAGAATTCTAAGAACTACATTATTTCTCTTCTATACTACCCCTGAATGCCCATATATTTGGAAGGCTATCATTCGAGAATGAGAACTCTCTTTCAGCTTTCCCAGTTCTCCCTGGGGTACGAACCCTTCCTATTTCAGGGTCGAAGATCATTGCCGTGTTACTTACATTCTACGTTAATCCTTACTCAACTAAGTCAACCCAAGTTCTCAGTGAAACATCAATACAAGTAGCAAATCGTTCTGTTATGATGCGAATGATATATCTCAATGCTTAGGTCGCGGCATAGGGATGATATCTTGTTACAGAGTCGTCTTACTGTCATAATACTACGTCGTATGAAGCAAGGCTAACAACTAATCTCTTCATGGACATTTATCTTGTTAAAACTAGCTTCTGTCTTTTTTTTTACTGTAGTACTTTGAGAATGAGTTCGCATGAGCTCTTCTCTCCAGGTCGTCATCGTCATCGAACATTAGTAAATCGCATGTCGAAGGCGAATCGATACAGTTAGCATAGTCACAGACTACACGAGCGAGATCTAAGAGACTTTACAGCCTTTTACTATCAAGTATAGAAATATAGTATCGAAATAATCTAGATATAGGCTTGGGGTCATTCAACTCCTGCACACCAGTCAAAACTGTATATTTTGAAGTCGCCAAGACGTGGATACTCACCGAGGGACACATATGTATCTATTCTCTTAGTTCCAGTTATCGCACGGGCATGATAAAACCATATTCAATAAAGTGGCAGTGTTTCGTATGGCTGCTTTTATTCTTAGAGTAGAAGTGCGTGGGTATATCTCGGTTTTTGAAGATAGACAAGGCAACGGTGGAGGCTCTAGAGAGTCATATACGAAATAATTGTTATTTTCTTGACTGCTAGACGCGTTGTTAGTCTAAACAGTAGCAGGCGCGCATCTATGCCCAGTGGAAAAAAAAGAGAGGGTGCGAGATAGGCAACCAGGAATAGGAGGGATAAAAATAAATATTAGGTAACTAAAGGATAACCAATCAGATACGGTGCGAGCGAGATTGTAAATAATTAACTGATTGTTAGGTCTTTAAAAAGAGAAGACAAAAAGCTCAGTCCTAGGTCCGAACCCCCTCGAGGGGATTCGAATCCAGAACCTACGAAAATCCTAACAGTTGGCCGATAAGATTTTACTGACCGGTACTGGCAACCTCACCATTAAACCAACAGGATGGCTTAATGGATTCAGTAGTCAGGCCCAGGCCGAAGGAACAGCCCGTTGCTGTGGTATATATGTCGTCTTTAGGTGCTTGTGGAATTATATGGGTCCGCTTGTTGCTATGGAAAACTGCCAGGTGCGTATTGTAATCTTGCCAGGCGGTCGTTAGGGTGATGTTCGTGTGGCCTAACTACGAGTCGATGCTCTTTCGTCTCGTAATACAAGATATGTACTTGTGTAGTAGCATGCCAATTTAGGACATATTGACACTATGATTCTCTGTTGCTTGCAGTATAGCTTCTGGACATGCCGGGATATGATCTTTCGGAAGACGATAAGTATTTCTTTGACATAGGTATGAATAATTTTAGTATAAGGGGGAAACGTTTGACCCAGATATTATATTCTATTATACGTAAGGTAGATAGATTATGGCGGCCAAATACTCCATCTTCGTCTATGGGCTAACTACAAAGGCACCACCTAGTAATATAGCAGGCTCATGTATATTATGATGTTCGTAGCTAATAGCCTCGTTGTTAACATTATTCTATGTTTAGTCTAAGGAAAAGTCACTTACCTCAATATTCCAACACCACCAGCCTCTAGTAGAAAAGCTGGACCATCCTGCAACGCCTTTTCCACCCATCTCATCGCGAAAGCACGTAGTATATGACCATGCGCTACAATTAGGACATCCCCAGAGGATTGGTCCTCTGACTTGGGTTTGCCGATTACGGGCGCGTGCCACACTTCCTGAATCTCTTTGATCAAACGATCCACGCGCTGGGTGACGTCGTCAGGGCTCCTTCGAATGATATTAGCTCTCCTCTTATACTCAGTTTAGGGTATTTGACGAGATTAATTGCAACCATCGGCAATTATATCCTTGCCATTTGCTAATTAACTCGGGGCTAGAGACTTACTCTCCGCCAACACACCCGTCCCTCCAGATGTCCCATTTCTGAGTGAAACCTTGCTTGGCGCGAATTTCACGGATCTCGGGACTTGTTATTCCCTCATAGTCGCCGTAATCCCACTCGCGGATGTCCTCAGTAACTTCGACCCGCGCATTGCATAATTGGCTGGCATCAGTGGGCTTTACACCGTGAATCTTCCACGGCAGGGGATCCGTAATACCAAGGTTGAGCAATTCAAAGGTTCGCTGGGCTCGCTTTCGCGGTGATACATATCTAAGAGAAAATATTATCAGCGCCTAAGCATGATGCAAGCTAGTTGCTCGAATTCACCACTGACAGGTTACGCTGAAGCGTTGCTACTGTCTATATTTTTCACCCTATCTCAGGGTGGGCTACCACTTGGCGCTCTGTGCTTATACAGCTTTTATTATAATACTTATAGCGACCAATTTAGCTTAAAGAGCAAACTCAAGGGGGACAAATGGTGTAGAGCTAGGGTATTCTTGGTATTCGTAAGGGTCACACTTTGGTTTAGTGGCAGTCTTACGAATAAGTAGGAGAACTCCATGTGATACCGGCACCGGATCTTGAGCTCCTCATCGAGGCAACCAACCAGCCAAATTCTTAAACTTCGCCTTGCGGCGAAGAACCTCAAACGATGCCGAAAAAAGTACGCAGTTGAAGAGGAGGTGAACTCACATATGCGCGATTTGTTTGGGTACAATTAATCGATCGTCCCCTACAAGTGCTCGACCAGTTGCCTTCACACGCTTTTCTCCATTGGCCGTCAATGGAATATCCGTTAAACCCGTGTGCTTACCGCTTAACGACCATTCGGTCTCGCCATGACGAACGAGGAATACTCGAGGGGTTGTCATTGCTCCCAGCTGGTAGTGATCCCTCAGAATATTAGAGTGGGTTTAGCTGAGATGAGGTGCGCTATTAACGAGTCGCAGCTGGTAGTAGTAGGACTCGGGAATGCCTTTGATTTAAGGGAAGAATCTTCTTATAGTATGTGTATATGAACCCTAGGAACAACTGTGAGCTGCTAGTCTAATAATGTTAGGTCCCGTGGACGTATAGACGTTAAATACACTTCAACAGCCTTATATCGGTTGATATTTTGGCCGTTAAGGGTAACAGACTCGAGGAGGTAGGTTTGCAATAGATGCGGCGCAAATTAACCCCTCCAAAACGTCAAAAGGATGATAGCGGATATATAAACCGGCAATCTACTTTTAGAGGTATTCTATGTAAGACGGGAAATCCGAATCAACTAATGGGGGAAATAAGCGTCATAAGCCGCTTAGCTTGTAGCTGCGATATCCGTGATCAATATCAAAGATTGAGTTTGGAAAGTAAACTATTACCTTAAAAAAAAGAAGAAAAAAAAGAGAAAGTCTACAAAGAAAAGCAAAAAGGCCAAATCTTACCAACCCCGGTAACCCCAAACACCTCGATGATGTCGTTCCTGGACCTTGTTAGTGGATTACTAAGGACCATATCCCTGCAAGCCAAAGGATCCACTGATAGGCCCCGCGAAGCCGGCGGCGGACCGAGCGGCGCCGACTTTTTCATCGCGGAGCTTGAGCTCCAATCCTGTCCCGCTACTCCTCAACCTCCAACTTGTTCAACTTCACACGACTCCGAGATCGTTACAAACGAGATCATTACAAATAACCCCGTCGAGCCACATATACATATCCAATTGCCCGAGCCCCCCGAACCTGCCGTGCTTTATACCGGGAGAGGAATTACGTCACCGTCGCTATTAGTTCTGCATCCGATTGATTCTGTTAGCTCGTTCAACAGCGGAAGTAATAGTAGTACTAATATCTCAGAAGGGAGGGGAGGAGGAGGAACAAGTCCTCACGGTAATGACGCGGTAGACCGGCCAGAAGCAAAGAAACAACGGGAGAGCCGTATCTGCTGGAGGGAATATTGGGGATAAATCAAAGAGACACAAAACCATGGCAGTCCGACCACCACAACCACTAACCCAACACCGTCCCCCGCGTCCAACAAGACGAGGCCCCGCACACCCTGGTCCAAGCACAAACAGCAATAAGATAGCCAGCGGGATATCCGGTATAACAGTCAAGCGACTAATCTGGACAGGTGCCTTCGCCGCCGTCACCATCGTCGGCGCCATCTACGGCGCGGGTCTAAAGACACAATCCGATTTCAAGCAGGAGAAGCGCCAGATCGTTGAGGCTACTCCCGAGGACCGTATCCGCTATCTCGAGGCCCGTCGCGCCGCCCTCGTCGCCCAGAAATTCCCGTTCGAGAGGAAGTTGGCTGATCTGAGGGCAAGGATGAGCGCGCAGGAGGGAAAGGCTGAGGAGGCGGATAAGAAATGAATTGGGCTGAACTGGTTATGAGAAGAATATGTTTTTAAGATAAAATGGGAATACAGGGGAAGGGGGGTAGCTGGACGAACTACGGAAGGCTGGATGAATTACTAGGATTCATCTTCCTATATTACTCCAGTGAAAATCTACGCTACGCGCCTACAAGAAACTACCGTTTAAACAGCGGTCATCATAGCCTACCACCCCACCTCACTCCACCCTTTAAATTAGATGGAGGACATATGCCACAACAGAGGATATGTAGTCTAAGGACGCACCGTATAATACGGCCACAAGTTGAAACCTTTGAACATAGACATGGATGAGGGATATGTATATATGAAGGATGGCGTATGGAGAAGACATTAGGGTCTAGGGAGTTGAAGACTTCGAAGACTTCGAGACGACGGAGCACACGTAGCAATAAAACCTACATGAGAAAAACTGAGTTCAAAATCCCGACCAAATGTGGCAAGACATCTATTTTCCGAACCGTACCCTATCGAGGGAAAGCGCGTCTAATGCTAGCCATTATGTTCCCCCCCCCTTTGCTTGTCATGCACTCAAAACGCCCGTATGCGATATCGTGTCCTCGTCAATTTCGTATTTACTCGATCGTGCCCTCGGCAGAAGGCAGCGGGATAGCGCGGTATAGCAGGATGAGAGCCGAGTGCGACTCGCCACCACCGGCTAACGCTTCGATCTTGTCTGCCGTTACCTCCGACACCTTGTCGTCGTTAAACCACCACCACTTTCCGTCTTCTTCCTTTCGCTTTCCCGATTTAGTATCGACCGGAGCCGTCTTCTTGACGTAAGCCGTATAGTGACCGCTATCAGCGCTTGCGCCCTGGTGCGTGACGACACCTCGTAGTTCGTACAAACCGGACTGGTTCGCGCCATCATCATTTGCTAATGATGGGTCAATAAGAGCATTAAGTTCCTTCTTAGCTGCGAGAAGAGCTGCGTCGCGTTCTGCGTCAATCTCGGCATCCGTCTTGTAAGTCTCGCCCATCTCTACATCGCCGTCCGCTGAGGTGCTAGCTTTGCTTTCTTCCTTCTTATCATCTTTCTTGGCACCCTTACCACCCGGAATATCGGCCTCGTCCTCGCCAGCGGCATTTCGCTTACGTCGCTTGCGCGCACGTTCAATATCTTCCTCATCCTTCCGAACTTCTCGGACTTTGTCTCTAACTGGAACAAGCATTCCCTTTAGCTTGTCGTCACAAAATTCCACAAGATCCAACTCGTGGGGGAAAGTGACCTTTCGCATGATCTTGGCCTTCTTTTGGGTTTCTCGCTTCCAGAAGAAACGAACGAAATGTACTGTTAGGTACTTGGGTAGTCGTGAAATTTTAGAGGTCTTGGTATAGACAGCATCCCTGCCCAAGACTTCTGACCTCTTCTCTACCTTCTCGCTTAGACCGTTCGCAATTCCGTCTCGTAAGTGATTCGTATTGCCATCGATGTGGCAGTTCAACTTCAGGAAAGCTTCCTTAGAGACAACAGGCTGCTCTCCGCCTTCTTTAGCTGCAGGCTCGTCGCATTCGAGTTCGGATGTAAACTCTCCCTGCATATATTTATCGATAAAAGAAGTCTCAGGGGCATCGGGAGCATCCTTTACGCGCAGCTTTTGGCGCAACTGAGTGACAATTTGAGACCATGCCTCCTCCGCATCCTGCTGGGCAAAGCCATGACCAGTCCGCGAGCGCTCGGCAAACTGAGGAAAAGCAGTCCGCAATGCAGTTAGAAATACCTGGGGGGTGTATGCCTCCTGAGTCTGAGACATGTATTTGTAGAGCTCTCGTAATTGCTTGGTCAAATCCAGGGGCGGTAAAAGACCAGTGGTACTTGCGTTCTGGGGTTCATACTTGGTCAAAGCATTCTGGAGCTCTGGAATAGCGCGGAGGGTCTGGAGCGTGGAGTTAAGGTAGCAGGTATTGCCAAGGTTAGCCAGACCAGCGGGTATAGCACCTTCTTGCTGAGCTGCTTCGGCCTCCGTCATATCTTCAACGAACTTGATCGGTTCTTTCGGTCGAGCAAGGACCTCTTGACCTTCCTTCCCTGGAGTCCCAAGCATCATTATAGTCTGACCAGGCTTGAAATCGAACTTGCTCATGGGGGTATCATCCTTCACTTGGCCACCCTTGACCAAGATCTTTTGGCGTTCGGGCTCTACGCCTGTAACACTGTAAAGCTGAAACTTGAACACATCACCGGTAGACTCGGGATCGACGTCAATGTCATACTTGGTTCCCTGGTGTTTTACGATGACTATACCAAGTATAAAACATATTAGTGGGTTTTTCTTAATTAACAGCATAGAGCTAGGATCTGCAGCTCAAGGTGCTCAAGGTGCTCACCTGGTATGGTTGCCATCTTGTCGTGCCTCTAATGATATGACCTTCACTATTCTCTAGAGGTTCTACGTGCTAGTGTTAAACTTAGAAGACGTATCGAAAGGGGGAAGGTGGAAAGGGGAAAGGGGAAATAAAATATATTTATTCGTCTGGCAATTAGCTTTAGGTTAGGCAAGGCAAGGCAAACTTGGTGGTGCGTCACCCCCCAATAATCGATACGATTCTACCCGCCTTTAGGGAGTTTCAACTGAAGTGGGTCCCCGCTGCGGGGCTACAGAAATGTGTCAAGCCACATAACCACATAATCCACCTCCACCAATCTTAATTCGACGTCACGTGTCTACGCTACTTTACATAGTAAATCGATATCGATAAGCTCAAGCTTAGCTGTACAACCTACTTTAGGTACATTAGGTAATCTTTACCCCTAGAAGGTACGTATCTCAGCTATGTAGTGCCCCACATTAGACGTTAAGACCTTAAGGACGTCGTAATTAACTTAAAGGACCGCTGTCAGGCTGGGAATTGCTTCACCCCACACCCCATTGTAGGACAAACACCAGGTTAGGGGACTGACCGCTCTACGCACCATGGTATATTCTATATTCATCTCCTATACTAAAATTCAACTACTAACTTCGAGTCTCAGTCCCAATCTCTCCGCCCTTATCTCCAATGCGTGCGGAGTACTCTCACGGCCGCCCTTTGCCTCTCTAACTTTGCCTCCCAAACTTCCGAACGACACAATGTTCCCGAGATCGAAGCCCAGACTTCTCCTGAAGTTCTACTCAACCCCTTAGTCATCTCTCGCAATGAGAACGAGAAGGTCCTGATCGAACCCAGCATCAATAGCGTACGAATTAGCATCAAGATCAAGCAGGCAGACGAGATCGAGAATATCCTAGTCCACAAGTTCACCCGATTCCTGACCCAGCGAGCCGAAGCCTTCTTTATCCTTAGGAGGAAACCTATCAAGGTATTCCCGCCATTTCCGGTAGAGCTACCGTGGTGTCCATTGTAGCTAATCTGGTCCGAATAGGGTTACGATATTTCTTTCTTAATTACCAACTTCCATACCGAGGAGATGTTGAAACACAAGCTAGTAGACTTCATCATCCAATTCATGGAGGAAGTAGACAAGGAGATTTCGGAGATGAAGCTGTTTGTATGTCATCTATGTCATCCTAGTATTGACCCCTTATAGTCAGGATTGACTAACCAAAATTAGTTGAACGCACGGGCAAGATTCGTGGCTGAATCTTTCTTAACACCAGTAAGTTCCTTCTACCAACCCTTTTTTCGGCAATTTACTAATACCATCCTCAGTTTGACTAAAAATTGCACTCATGGAGAACTGGGTTTCTTCCCGGTCAAACTTGGAGAGAGAATAAGACAGGAGCTATGAAGCTGACAACTCCCGGAGATGCAAGAACTGACATACCCAGAGCATAACTGGTTGAGGCCGTATAAATAGAGACAGCGAACTCTAGCAATATGCATTACCTACCTAGATATAAAATGATAGCAAACAGTGATTTCAGGTTACCATTTGATCTATCTAGCCAACGGGTATTGATGCAGTGAAGTGATTGGCTGGGCAATCTTTATACAAACGCTTAATATTGTGCTTCATATTCAAGCTCTTCAATTCATCAAATCCTTGCTTTCGTTTCCAGTTCAACAATCCTCATTCTATATATATCACAGTTCCCAGTATTACCTATAGCTTGTCATCCCTTTTACAAGTGCAACCTTTATCTAGTCAAGCCCGCTGTCTTGTGTCCAAATTTCTTAGTTTTGAGCATCCAAGTAACAATAGATGTTTATAGACGAGGAATACACCATCGAGAGAGCTGGCCTAATAGATTATCCTACAATAGCCCATTTTGCGTCTCTTCATACTCGCAGTGGTTTGTGACATTCGATTCCTCGTATCAGCTTGCCCGGAAAATCAATACATTGCATAACATAGCCTTCACCAGTCTCAAGTGGCGGTCATACTCTTCTCCCGATAATGCCTAGAGCAAGCGAGTCCTACTATCACTCAACGATTATCTTCAATTAGTATCTTCGCCGGGGAGAATAGTGCTTTGGTATAGAATTTTTCCCGGCCGGCACGTTTCCGAGTTATAAAAGCATTAATATTTTTGATATATCCATAGGCCTAATATCACAACCCTATGGAAGTGTCCTTATGCATTAGAATATAATATATGGCATATTAATAAACTGGCATCAGTACGACATATACTGGGCCCGGGCCCGAGCCCATACTATCAATTACCTATCATCAGCCAAGGGATTTAGTTGCACCACGAATGTCATTATATGCACGCCTAATTATTACAAAAATTATGTCGATAGACAGTATCGAATATATAAAATCGAAGATGGGACTAAGATAGATCATAAGGCGAAGACGTAACTGGTAGCATATCCGTAGCTATGGTGGGATTTGACTTCACCTATCATTTAACAAGATTCGTAAGATCATTCTGTCTATCTCTTTATAATTGACAAAAATAGAATTAATTACCTATCAGCAAAGGTCCTAACTGTTAGGGTTTATAGACACCAATACTGCGGAGAAGATAAAAGCACCAAAATCGTGGCTTGAGCCGTAGCGTTGGGTATAATTATCGTTAGGGCCAACGGTCACATATGAAGTTATTTCAAGGGTGCAATTACCATCACAAACTGTTAGACGGTCTGTTCCGAATATTTTAGTTGTAGCCCTACCTTAAAAACTAACCAGTTTGCTCCGCGTGTGCTTCCTTAGTTGACGCTCTACTCTCGTTATTAAATATATTGCACTTTAAATACTACCTACGGCCTATTGGCGATTTCACTTAACATTGTAACTGAGCAAGTATTATTGGTTAGGTACGCGAGGCTTGTAATTAACGCCTTGGAAGTAACTGTGGAATATTCGTGTTCTTGCCTACTCGTAAACCGGATGGACCACGATACCTGAGGTTCCGTTCGGTGGCATCTCGAGTACCTACTACTACCGTAGAGAGGAAAGACCACTGCTTGCAAAATAGCAGCTCTTACCGTCATATCACGATGCTATTTCTAGATATCTCGAGTTCGCCAACATCGAACCTTGAGGCAAACACTAGGTCTTGCCACAGCAGTTATCTTGCCTCAACATCGTTAAGCACCTGCCTTCCATTTATCCCCCCTTTCTCTCCTGCCTTCCTCCACAACCAAAGATACGAAGGTATTTCTAGTAGTTATTAACTGATAGCCTTGATACTTGAGGTGGTTTTTTTTTGTGCCAGCTCGCGATCTCCTTGTTACTTCCCCACAACAAAATATCCTCATCGCCCTAAGTCTCGAGGGGATTCTATTTAACAGTCCTCGTAAAACATTCTTGTGAATCTAACTTGAATTCATCCGTCACCTCTTTTCGACGTGGTCCTAACTTTCTTAGTTACCTAGGAGGTACATAGTTATCCAATAGGTATTTCAAACTCCCTTTCCCCTCCCCCCTCAAAGTAATAACTCTCTCAACTTTTATTAAATATCCTGACTCACAAGACTAGAAGCTTGGACCTTTGGTGATTTCATACCTGGTACGTATATTCCCTCCTAAATTCTCTCAATTTCATTGGCTGCCTAAGAATACCTTGGTGTTTTTAACTTACACAATCAGATAGCAGACATTATCCAGATATCCTCTGGATACCATTCTCCCCACTGTGGTCCTTTTTAGCAGAGTTCGGTTTTATGAAGAGGTGGGCAGTTTAATTGCCCAGGTATCTACTACCGATCAAGTGCATAGTGAGTGAACCGCTTTCGAACCCCCATATTTCAAGATCAGGTACCTTGTTGCCCTGCAACCCTGATTCTTTATGTCCTTACTACTTGTCATCTCCTCTTGTTCACGGAATTACTCTTTTCGCATATTCAAGTCGAGTCATGACGTGGGGCCTTTTTTTTGGACGAACAAATTGCTAGGCAACGGTTAGACTGTACCCTCGTCTGTACACTTTTAGCCACTATCACCAACCCCGTTGCGTCGCAACGCTTCAAAAGTTACCTTGTATTGACAGTTGTCGTCGGTGCATTGGTAATTATATTTAGTACCTGACGTACCTTTACACACACCTCTACACACAAACTTGTCTTCCCGATTTTATTTAATACGCATCCCGCACTTTCAAATATTCTTTCCTTCCGTTACACCTTCAACACACTTTCAAACTTGACACTTTCAATAACGCTTCTACCTTCCCTCTTCCCCCAAGACTAACCCAATTGTACGGATAGTTTATAAAGATTCTGTGGATATTAATCGACAAAGTAGTTAACGACCCATTCACATCAGCACGCGCATTCACCTGGAAGTCTTAAGGACTACTACATCTTGGACCTCTATCTCAACAAGTCATTACTTCTTTTCCAAACCACTTCACTTATCCCTTTAGCGTTTCTTTACAACGCCGGTCGCGACTTAACAACAATCAACTTCTTCGTGTAAGTGTTTAGCCTGCTTATCCCCCCGCGCACTACTACTAGAACATTATCCCTTCAGTAATAAGTCATCTATCAACACATGATAAAACAACTACTTGTCTACTTAAATAATGCTGACTTTACATATTGTTTAGTTAAGTCATATTCTATTTACATCTCATTGATCTAAGTGAATATGTCTGGAACTACAGCTCCTGGTAGCCGATGGGCTAACTCCAAGCTACCCCGACAACCTCTAACTGGAGGTCTGAATGCCACTTCGCGTGAGGGCAGTGACACTGGTGCTCCTGTCCGAGGCGCTTCTCTTAACAAGAACATCAGTTCTTCCGAGGCTGGTAGCCATACCATGGCTTACACCACTGTAAATGCAGTGGACAGTACTGAGGCGGCACGTGTAGTCACTATTCCTAGTGGCAGCTACTATACCACCCCTAGATCATTTGGTTCCACATTGATGGGATCGATGGCTGGCACAACTGCCTCTAACATCAACAATGAGAAGGTAACACAGATCCCCCTCCCAAACCTAATCCTACACCTACATCTTGTCGTTTATTAGTTATTGATGATAATCAAACATGACAAAACACCCTTTGTTTATCTTAACATCGTAAATTAGTTTACCATGCTAACAAATTTACTTCTCATCTTATAGGTCCCTTCGGTAGAAATGTTCATGAACATGCACCAGGCTCAGCAGAATATGCAGAACTTCCCTAGTGGAGTTCCCTTCAGTCAAGCCCAGCAGGTAGCTGTTGACAATGCTATGCAGCCATCAATCATAGACCACTCGATGCTGCTTCGCCTTCAGCAACATTGGACCCCTGCAGATTGGAATTTCCAGAAGCGTGAAATGACAGGCATGCCGATGCAGGAAGATTATGACAGAGTTGCCAGTGATCGTCGACAGTCCTGTGCCATTAAGAGCGAGAATGAGGAGGTCTTCAGACAGGTCCTTCACAACGTCGCGAATGGTTTACCCACGACCTCCCCAAATCAGAAGGGCGGCCACAAGCGAAAGAATACAACGGTTTCGGCACCACCCAACATGACACTGGACAAATCTCCTACGGTGCTCAGGGGTAGAACTGGTTTAACCTCTTCTCAGAGCCAGATAATCAGTCAAGGTGGCTCAAGCTCGGCAGTCGACCTCATAGGACTCTCTCGAGGTCGCCAAACGCCTATCGTTCAGGGCAACCTCGTCCAATTCACTACTCCCACCAGTCTCCAGAGAGTTGGTTTACTTGATCGCAATCTTTCAGGGGGTCAAAGCCATAACAGTACCACTCCTACAAGAACTCGGCGAATTAGCCCCTTAGCTCCCCCGGGAAGTCACAGCGCTGACCGATCGGCGCAGTCCATCATCCGTCTCAGTGCCACTACATCGGGTTCTTCTAGTGGTTCCTCAAGCGGAAACGGCCTCCTAGAGTCTTTGAGAAAAGCTCAGTCAGCCTCTCCCACTCCCTTGACAACAGAGCTGATCCAGCAGCGACAGACTCTTGTTAAGAGCCCTTCTAGCCAGCGATCGAGTCTACGATCAACATCTCCTATCTATGGGCCATTGGAATTCCTTCCTATTCCCGAGGAAATCCAGAAGCTTCGCTCGGACTGGTTGAATCACTTGACGGGACCTAATGGGCAACCTACTGTCGAAAATATGCTTCATTCCAGCAACATGCCGTTTGTTGAAACGTGCCATCTTGCCGAGCGCAGCAACCACGGGATTGTTTGCATTAGCAATGTAAGTTATTCATAGAAATGATGGACTATGGGCATATGATTAACATTCTTCTAGATCCCCTATGAGATTACCCGTGCCGAGATTATCGCCTTCTTGGGTCGTAGCGCTCGTATCCTGAACGACAAGGATGAGCCTGTCCATATTATCATGGACCGCGTTACTAGCAAGACCAACGATTGTTATGTCGAGTTCGTGTCGTTCCAAGATGCTGTGAACGCCGTGGATAAGCATCGAGCGGCTATTAAGCAGGAACGCCACCCTAAACTTGGTGACCGCAATGTGGAGATGACAGTTGCTTCTCAGGCGAAGCTTATGAAGGAACTTTTCCCTACTGCGCATGGCATTGACTGGCACGAGTCTCCCTATGCATTCACATTTGGTTCCGAGTATGACTTTGAAAACTTCAAAGGATTCGTTTGTGCGGAAGAGATGGGTATGCTCTATAAGCATGCTGAGGCCAACTCCCACGTAAGTAGCCTTTTCCCCTTATTTTTAATTATGTTCTCGCTCCTAACATTACCCCTCTACAGGCCTCATATGCGAAAGGTTGTCCCGAACGACCATTTGAGTGCATGATCAGCACTCTGAAGAAGATGCCATGGTACCTAACTGAGCGTATCACCATCAAGGAGCGTCATTACATCTATGATGCGACATTCAAGATGGTTCAGTACTTGAAGGAACTTCTTGAGAGAGGCACAATGCGCCGTGGCCAAAAGCCCGACTTCAATCGCCTTACCAAGCAGCTTTTCAACCGACTTGTAAAAGCTGCTATGCTTTGTCCCGGCTTCACAGTGAGTCAGAAGGACAACATTGCATACACGGCCAACTTGTCCGAGCTTGACTTGCGCGATTATAACCAGCCTCGTTTTGCCGAGCGCTGGTGCCACCAGTATGCCCTCGGTGTTAAACCCGGTGCCCCTCTGGATGTCGTCGAGGTATGTTATATCCACCCCTATTCCACTGCTTATAGATTGTATCCTAACAAGATTGAACAGTACTACATCGCCTTAATTAACATGGAGACTTCCCGAGTTGTAGATAATCTCAGCGTCAGTCGAAAGCGCGCCTTGAAACTCGAGCAAAGCAAGACCTTTGATTACTGGGGCTTCTTCTGGTGCGAGATGGGTTTGCCGTCAGGACCAACGTTCGACAATATGACGCTGGCCGACGTTGCCGCCTTAGAGTGGGACGCGATCGAGAAGATTATCCGCCGTGCCATTACGGGAGGACAGCTGCCCTCCTACTAGAGCGAGACGGTCATCTAGACCTTGTGCTATTCAGTTGCATAGACTCGGGGTAGTCACTATCAACTTTGCTTTTGCTATAACGACAATAACGATTGTCACCAACGGATAACAAATCCAACCTCGTTTCATCTCTAGAAGTCCATTTTGCTACACCTATTCGGTCTTCTCAGAGGGCTATTCATGCTAGCCATCATCATCATCGAATGCGACACCTGAAGGAATCCCTTGCTTGACCAGCTGCGGAAAGATTTATTGAAGGTGCATCAGCACGTGGTCGCTCATCTGAGCCGCTCGTTCTGATGGGAATGTCAAAGTTGAGGATCTTAACCAGACTTCGCACCCTGTAGGCTCTGGACTGAGCGCAGGGGGGATATTTTTTCGCAGATTTATTCTCCGTATCTACATGAGTAGAGAGACGCGAGAATTAAGACGCATGTCTTTGGTCATTATGTGACAATAATATGGGGTAATCTACTACACCCAGAGTTCACAAGTTTGCGATTTGCTAGGAATCCGGTTTCGTTTCTTTTTAGTTGAGGCATCATTCGTAGATAGCCACAATAAACTATTTCGTTGGTCAACACGTTACTTAAGTCCACTAGTTATTAGTTATGCCTTCTTACTTTGTAAGTAATTAATGCGTTTAAATATTAAATAACGATATGGAAAATTGTGAGAACCCAATTCAGAATCAAGATAAGAGGTAAGTATATATAATCATAAGTATAGGTAAGAGCTATGTAGTATACCTAAGTCACGGTAAGATGGGATGAAGTTAATATTATTACTAATCGATCCCCGTAGCCCCGAATATTGGTCGGGCAGATCGGGGGGTAAGTGAGGTGATAGGACGATTATGCAAACCAGTAACTCTCAGATACATGTATTTCCCCGCATGAGCTTATACCAGGTATTATTACACACGTACTGTACTTTTGTAAAGTATTATACACGCAAGATATAGAGCATAAATACTTGTTTATATGCTAAATGCTCGTACCTTCAATGTAGTAAAGGTACCTACCTAATTCAATTATTTGGGAAACAGCGTCCTTGGCGCCTAGAAGGTACTAACTCCACTATCGACCCGCCAGTTGCCCACCTACCAAACCTCATCCCACTTCCTGGAACTTTCCATAGTCGACAATTACCAAAACACCAAACCTTACCACATTTCCCCATCTTACCTCTTATCCAATCACGCTGAGCTGAGACCGCACATACCTTCGACCCGAAACTTCTTACCGAAGTCCGACCTCGCCTTCTACTAAGATTTTCGACCGAATCTATTGTCTGGTCCCCTAAGCCAACGAGGCGCAAGCCTCTGACGCAAAACCTCGAGCGAACTGCTATAAACAGTCACGAAACAAACCGCCAAAACGGCGTCTACCGACCAACAACAGGTCCCCGCGACCGGCGGGGGCGCAGTTTCAGCGGCACCCACGTCGCCAAATCAAACCTCTACCTCTCCGACAGCTACCTCTCCGCGCGGAATGGCTGGTTTAACCCGTCCCATCCTGCAGTCCATGCCGGACACGCGTCAGCAATCGTTCGAGGAGATCTACGGGCCTCCGGAGAACTTTCTCGAGATAGAGGTAGGTCCCTTACCGAAACACGCCATTGTTCATATGGCTTCGTTGTAGCTTCGTGAATGGCGCATAGCCTTACTTAACGAGGCACACGAGCAAGACTTATACTCTTCTCCCTCCCTCCCTTCTTTACTATTTTATATGCATCACACGACACAATTGAATCAGCAGTGCGACCAATGGTAATAGTAAGCTGACCAATGGCACTTGGCTATATGAAACAGGTCCGCAACCCGCGCACGCACGGCACGTCACGCAACATGTACACGGATTACGAGATCGTGTGCCGGACCAACATCCCGGCCTTTAAGCTACGGCACTCTTCGGTGCGCCGGCGCTACAGCGATTTCGAGTACTTCCGCGACATTCTCGAGCGCGAGAGCGCCCGCGTCACCATTCCCCCGCTCCCCGGCAAGGTCTTCACCAACCGCTTTTCCGACGACGTCATTGAGGGTCGCCGTGCTGGGCTCGAGAAATTCCTCAAGATCGTTGTTGGCCATCCACTACTCCAGACCGGCAGCAAGGTCTTGGCTGCGTTCGTACAGGGTGAGTTTGACTTTTTCCCCTTAGTCACATTCTTAATATGGCAGTTCTCCTTTTCATTCGATGGGCTGGCTATGAGGATTCAAATAAGAATATGAGTGAGCGGAAACGGGTTACATAAAAAAATATTTTTTTTATAGCCAGATTTGAGCTGTCATGAGGGATTGACGTCAATATGCCGACTATGTTCGAAACTGGATAGCTAACTCTGATCTCTAGACCCTAACTGGGACCGCAATGCTTGGTGACTGCGACTTTTCGACTCATGGACTACCAATAACGGATCACAAAATCCCGGTAGCCGTCGCATACCTAGAAAGCTGCGGAAGAGACCGCCTAAACAACTCGTGGAGACTCACTTGCAGGGGGTAGCATCGAAACGTAGTAGCTGGGAGACGGAGACGACATTACGATGAGAAACGAAGGAACCGCTTATATTACTGGCCTGAGCTTTACGGATACGAGGTTAAAGAGTAATTGCGTACATCTATTTCATGACGCCTGCGTGGACATAGCTGACTTGATCAAGATGCGGTTTAAAGCCGTCTAGCAAAAATGATCAAAGTACTAGTAGTCGAAAAATACTTAATTTCGTCGATTTTACCCATATTAATATAATTTGCGCTTTCTATTCCTGGGGTGTTTCGTCTAAGCTTAATTCAAGCAACCGACGGTTTAGTTTGAACTTCTACTAGACCCGAGAAATAGTATTGTTATCCGGGGTAAAATTCGAAGCTTGCTTTGGTACCTAAGAGATAATGCTCACAGATGACTTACCTAGCGATCAAGTCCAATTATATGAGTACACCAGTTGACATAAAAAAGAATAAAAAATTTCCACGAGATGTAAGACATGTTTGAGCCTAAAAGCCAATATGCGTCAACTAAGATACTAACCCAGAACTGGGAGGAAAAACGAAATCAGAAATTAGAGAAGTGGAAAATTATATGAAAAAAAAAAAATCAAAAAGAAAAATCGAAAAAATAAATGGAAAGTCGCGACAACGACAGGATTCGAACCTGTGCGACCGAAGTCATTAGATTTCGAGTCTAACCCATTAACCACTCTGGCACGTTGCCTTGGATGACTGATGGCCTTTTATTTGACACTATATATCCTTAGCGTGTGTAAACTTCGGCGAAATTAGGGTAGCTACTTAGAGCGCTGTGATTCGTGAGAATTTGATGGGGTAGCGGATGCTTGGTGGTATTGACGATCCACTATGATATGATGTCTTGAGTGAATATATAGATGGGAATGATAATTAAACTTGATGATTTGAAGTTAATGTCTGTAATTATCATATGTTTCTATATTATAGTGCTCAGTCGAAATCTTATAATAAATAAATACTCAAGGGAACGAGAACATGATACCTAGGTCTCTTGCTAGGCTTATGAAGACCTACATGTAGTTAGCTACCTAGTTTAATTTCGTAGAGACGGAATTTATCTGATCTAACGTAGTACACTCAAGTCTTATACTGAGGCCCACTACATGTAGCTATCCCTTATGCTACATGATTGCATGCATTTTCAATAGATATGGTCTGAGTGGATCGTTTTTATTTTATCCTATTCCTCTTTCGCCTTATCTAACATCATTCATCCCCCTTTTACCTTCCCAAACGCCAACCATGCTATATGCCACTCCGTACACGTATAGATCATAGCTGCCTGCTAGTCCAGCTTGCTTGAACGTAGCAGGCTAACGAGAACCTTGCCGTGTTTGTGCCTTCGTAATTCTATCGTGACCCAGCCTTTTTCTATGACGTATTTCCGTTTGATATACAGTAGTGGTGATGTAGCATCTGCACAGTGTCTATGTATGTGCGTAGGTGGGGACATAGACGAGATTGTTGTTTATAATGGCTTCATTTGGTGCCTATGATTCCTTGGATATCCAGTCCAAGCTCGAGAGGTATCGTCATTCATCTAGCATTGCCTTTTCCTCTTGCCTCATACACCAAGTTAATGTTATTACAAGGTCGGTATAGACGTGTACCATCGCATTCGTGGATGTTAATAGGATTGGAGTTGTCTAGAGGGGCGTTAATACGTGGGTTAGTGCCAGAGGTATTTTTATCTAGCTCTTCGCGCCGAGGAACTTGATGATAACTTCGTACATGCCGAACATAATTGCGGCCGAGGGGATTGTACGCATTAGATGAGGCGTTAGACCTCCGTATAGCCCGATGACGCCCTCCTCCTTCCAGACAAGTTTGAAGCATTGTACGAGCCCCGTATACTTGGGTCTACCATCTGACATCGGTGCTTGTCTGAGCCGAGTCCGCGCGACCTAGATATCATGTTAGTTAATTCTTCTTTCAGATCGCAATTTGATTCTTTGATGGCGTTGTATAATCTCCATGAGTACTCACCTCATGCGGATACGTCAATATAGACGCTATACCCTTAGCTGCACCGGCACCCATGAAATTTCCTGTCCAGTCAACTGTACGATCCCACCAGGTCTTTTCCTTGCCACTTTGCACGATCTGTTCCTCCCGTATTCTTAACTTGCGTTTAATTTCTTCGTACATCATCCACTGCAGCGTGCTTTCAGTGATGCCAAGATAACTTGCGCTCAGACCTTTAAAGAAGCCCCGCGGACCCTCGTCCCGCACCACTTGCCGGATACAGTCCCAGCTGTTGCGGTACCGGCGCGCACCTACGTCACCCTTGCGCTCGGCGTTATTCTTGTCAAGCTGCAATCGCGTCTTCACCAGCCATATAGGGTTCGTCGCAGTCCCTGTTGCGATCCCTGCTGTCACCGCACTGCCTAGATGCACAATCGGATTATCCGGGGATACATCTAACCATTGCGAATATGCCCTCTTGCTCGTGGGGTACACATAAAAGTTAATGCTTCGCGCCGGCACGACTCCGACCAGGTTCGGCCCCAGACCTTTGAATAGCGCTCGCCACCCTTCTAACTTATGCACGTCGCGCAAGATCTGGAATGTTTCTTGTAAGTGATACGTGGCTGACTGCCATGGGCCAAGGCGCGCTTGGCCTGTTGCTTCTCGCGCTGCTCGGAGCTGGGCTTGATAAAAATCGGACTGAAGTCGGGTTTTGAGAACATCGAGAGGTGCTGTTAACACAGCTGCTGTCATGCCTCCGATACTGCGAGAATAGAGAGCCTTAGCGAAAGCCTTGTATGCATTTCTTTTTTGAAGAGCATTTTCCAGCTTTAAGGAGCTCTATAGACGAGGAAGAGGAATCATGACGTACCCTCCGGCGACCAAGTGTGGCCAAGATCTGGAGAATGGCGACGATGTTGTCGCTGTAGCCTCGGGAGTTGCAAGACCAAGCTCACGAGATTGCGGTAATGGCGACTGCTGTGGTATCGGAAATGCGCCATCGTGACGCTTTTTGGTGTTGTTCATTGTGTAAATCGCATGGGGTGGCGGCTGAGCCATGACCCGTTATGGAGATGACGGCTATAAGTCAGTTTCTGTGCGGCCTGTAGGAAAACATTTACTACCGACACTCCATTAAAATGTTCACAATTATGAGCTTATTAGAATGGCAATTTTTAAAAGTGAGAAACGTTTTGTTTAAGCTGTCGACAAGTGAGTGGAGGTATTGTTTAAAATTGGAAAATTTAAAACTGGAGGTTCGCTACTGACGACGTCAAAGAATTACATACAATTAGATTTGACTTTTTTTTTTAATGGGTACCGCCGCCACATTGTCTTATCCCGTCGCGTCTAATAGAGCAGCCCTAACTAGCGCGCTTCTCAACTGTTAAATTAAGTGGGTCATCATTAACTGTGCCTCAAACACCCGCGAGCCCGGTTTTCGGGAAGTTTGGGCATGTAGGCAGGTCACCCCGAAGGAGGCCAGGGGGGAGGGGGGGGTCAGATACATACATATAATGGATTGTAAGACACTTAATTGAGCCTCGTTAAGCCTCGGTGTCTTACATCAGGTTATCTAGCACAATTTTAACTTCATCCCATTGCCAGAGCTAAGTAATATAACTTCAATTTTTTCAATTTCTCGTATATGTTGGATAATGAATAATGGTAAGCAAATGAGCAGACATGAAGCTATAATGCACGCCTTCTCCCAGCCGTATGCTGCCCGGGTATATACAAGTTTCCAACACCTAAAGAAAACCCGCATGTACAATTCCACCTACGTATATATGTACGGCCAAGTTATTGTTGTCTTGTTCTCGTTCCGGTTATTCTGAATGTTGATGTCCCCCGCGCGAAATCGCAGCAGCATCTGCCGCCGCGGACGCTACGGAAGCCATGTGGCTAAGCATTGACTTCTGCTCCCTAAACATCCCACTAGCTAATTCTTTCCTTGGGTATTCTGGTCCCTGACGCACATCTCTTATATCCACTTCCATAGTTTCATGCCTACTTATTGGTGTCTCTGGTCCCTTTCTCCAGACATCGTCGGCGGGTCTACCGATGGCTATCCTCGAACCAGACCTACTCGTGCTAGGTTCGTCGCTGCGTTCCGATTCCCTACGTCGTTCGCCGAATTCGAGATGCGATTGGGATCCGAATACAGCTCTACCGGAGTCCCTTGCCTCGTCTCCGTCGTCATCTCCATCTCCACCAGCTTCTCCCTTAAGCCAAGCCACCTCCTCTTCTGTAAGCCCCTTCCACACACATCTTGCGTGTTTCTTGGTGCATCCCTGGCAGGCAGTTAAGTGTTTAATACACTGTGTCTTGAGCCTTCTGCATCTGTCACATGGCGGATGTATGGCGTCTCCACGTGCTAGTCTCTCGATCTTGGCCGTTACCAAGGCGCGATTCTCTTCCTCTACATCCCTCATAGCTGGCTCAGTGGGATAGCTAGGTGAAGGCCGGTTGCTACCTAGAATAGTTTGCTGTTGAATAGAGGTTCTTGGTGTCGATGTTGCGGTGCCCATTGGATTTGGTGTTGGTGGTATAGAACCAACAGAAGAGATTCTGTGACTAGAAGGTTGGGAGGGAGCGAGGAACTGCTGGAGAAGATCGGCATGTAAGTCGTAACCGGGGTTGGCACCGGAACCTAACGATTGATTTACAGCTTGGAAGTTGGGACCGGAGGCTGATTGCGACGCGCGACGCGCTTGTATAGACGCTTTTCGTCCGCTCAAGTGGTAGTTGAGTTGGCGGGCCCTACGCGCCACTTCGTCCGCCTTCTTGATTAAAACCTGTAGGCGCTGCTCGACAATTTCGAGAGTTGCTAATTCCGCCGTCTCGTCTTCTTCTAGAGGTTGTGGTGGGACAAGCCTAAACCTGTCCAGAGCGCCAGATACTATTAACCTCCAGTCATCTTCTCCAATTTCGACCTGGACACCTTTTAGGGGGAATTGGCAGCAACGCCCGCCATTAGGAGTAGGCGTCAATACAAACTCCCCAGGTTTTGCCTTGGCAAACTCGACAATGTCAAGCCACGTAACCGGATCAGGGCTAAATATCGTTTGTGCCGGAGTTGTCGTTATTGAGCCTTCAAAAGCGCCCTCCATCGCCTTCAGCAAGCGGCTACCCGTCAACTTCGCTCCTAAATTAGAAGCAAGGCTCTCATGTCTATTCAACACTCCTGAGTCATCGCGTCAGTCCTTGTATATTCAAGGAAGAATAGTATAAGGTGGAAACGGCTCACCCTCATACTCGTTGACTAGGGTGAGAACATCGGAGAAGGTATCGCTGTCGCCTTGTATGAGCTTCAGTTTGACCGGATGGGCCTTTGACAGATAATTGATAGGGGCTATCGTGCCTTCGATATTGATAGGTTAGTATCTTTCCTAGTATCTTTCTACGGAGCGGCTACACTCCTCAATTGGACTTATTTTGCGAACGTGTAATAAAATAGTTGGATATAAAGATACGATACATAAATAAGGTAAGTGTATTTCATAATAGGACATGTGATGATAAAGAGATGGAAGCCAATGTTACATACGAAACAAGGCGTAACGATATCATCGTGTCCCAAATGGAGGCTACCTATGAAGGTGTGGATATGTGTAAGTGTGTATGGGTGGGTGAATGAGACTTACCTGACTGAGGCGGAGGCGGTTGTGGTATGCGATCAGCATGAGGTGCTTGACTTCCATTGTCATCAGATATGTCTCTTTTTCGTTTATGTTGATCAGACTCTGAATTGTGCGCCATTCCAGCACGCCTCACAGTTGAGAAATTTACAGATGCCTCTTAAGCTTTGGTAGGAGTCTTGATATACAAAATGATTTGCAGCTTTAGGATAACCGATTGACACGTCCAATTAATTCCGTCGCTAGAAAATACGAGTTGACATATATGAGTATAAAACAAGATGAGTGGGGAGTGGTTCGCTTGACGTTGCTATTTCTGTCCGAGGGTTTGAGAAGGTGATGTGATGTATTATAAGGGTAAGCAAACAGCGGGAGCACGCTTTATTACGAATTAATTCTCCAAGTCGCAGATGGGCCGAGAATTGCGAAACGCCCGGGAGCGGCACGCAGACTGTAAAGTTAGGGCTGCCGAGCTTTTGGGCTTTTCCGTTTTTCTGAGCTCGGCGGCCGTCATATGAACGAACCTTTAGATTCGTTTGCAGTGAGTAAGAGGGTAGCTTTTAAAATACTTTAAAAATAGGGGAAATGGGTTCGAACGAGAGGCCAAACAAATTAAATGGAGAAGGAAGAAAAGGGGAAAGTCAATATGAAAACATATGATGTAGGTATTGAGGGATTGAGGTATGGAATATATGGAGGTATTGAAGTACGTGTATGATAAAGTAAGCAAGTGAAGTATGATGATACTCAGCCTCGACGCAAATAGAAAATACGGAGTAAACTACCGTGAGAATGGGCTGGGGATAAGGGAATTTCGGAAACCGGGGTGGAATCAAAAGACGCGGGGCTCAAAATGTCTAGTGTTCAATAGGTATGGACATAATTGTTGATCTCTAGATTTTATGTACGTACCTTGTAGTTCGGGGAGACACGGCACGGAACGATACCGCAGTAGGTATGTTAGGTTAGGAGGTAGTATAGTATAGTATAGTATAGTATGTAGGTACATGTAGTATAAAAACGAATTAAAATAGGATAAAGTTCCTTAGGTTGGTGGTGAAAAAGAAATCCGCCCACAGATTTTACAGACGGCAGTTTGCTAGGATCCAATTCCCAAAGTGCGAATGGCGAAGTGGGTTAGGTATACCTACCTAGGTTAAGGTACCTATGTACCTCCTAGGTACGCTTTTAAGCTTGCTGGTTTAGGTAATAAGACTCGATATTATTGATGGGCTTTTTTTTTTTTTGCCCCAAGCTCTGCAGGTTAATTGAGCTGAGGTAAGAGCCACAAGCCACCTACCTTTATATTTGTGCATGTGTGTAAGGTATACATCTATACCTAACATTATGTAAACAATATTTACATATACATTGATTATGTTGTTATCTGTATATTATGTACCTAATGCTTATAGTAATTTCATATTAAACATAGGTTATCCTGGTTGAACTTTTCTTCTCTCCCCTCTTCTAAATTATAATGTTCTAATGGGGTAGGTTGTATGCTCATAGGATAATACGCGGGTAGATATCAACAGAATGACACCCGACCAAAAAGTTGAAGTTTAGCGACATCTCGGCTGTTTACATGAGCTTCACGGAATAGAGACCGAAAGCTCTCCATCTTCCGTTCCCTTTTGTCGCTCGCTTCTCATTGCCTCCCCGGACTCGCCTCGGGGCCCTTTGCAGCTTTGGTTAACCCTAGCCGTATACAGGAGAGGATCATCGACGCTGGAATTCCGCTCTTTTTAAAGACTTCCCGACCGTATGATCCCTTGTCGCCGCACAAAACAAGGAAAAGATCGACGGACTACATGAGTTTGGCGTTGAAACCCACTTGTGGTGATGGATCTGAGGTGCGTTAGACTAATAAGCAAAAATTTCGAATGGGTGCGATTTGAAGAATACGGTTTAGGGCCTTCTCAGCTCAGGATCTAATTCTTTTGAGGTAGTGAAGAACGCGAGTTGACAACTCCCATATGAGGTACTTTTTATTCATATTAGTTAGTTACATGCTTTTTGAACTTTTCTTTTTTACTTGTTTTTTCTCCTATTTTGCCATGAACTAACTATACTCTTCACATCCATACAATTACTCTTCGTACGGTACGAAATAATGTAAGTATATTTACAGCTTTAGAAACGAGAAGAGATGTGATATACTCTGCAGCTTACATCCCTGAGAGCCGCTAGAATAGATAGAGGTGCTGCCGAGCTTACATCCCTACATTTGCAGGACGCTACTCAGATGCTGCATACAGGCCGCTAGTCCTTCGTCGGGTCCTTTTTATGTAAAATGCTCTAAATGCCCCTCCAAAAGCCCCGAACAAGCCACTCAGCACCCCGCGGTACCCCTGGACACGGCACACCAGAAGAGAGAAGCGTTCGAGAACAAGCTAAATTTTACAGGTCAAAAAAAAAAAAAAAAAAAACCGCCCCTCCTTCGTCTTTTTGAGGGGCACTCCAGCCTTGGATCAATTGGAGAATAGCCTTATCGCGGGGTTCCACTAATTTGCTTCTACGCAGCCCAAAGCCACAGAGGGGAGATTTTAAAAAAAAGCAATCGACTTTCCCCGTATTCTACGATCGACAGCAACTTGCAAACTGCAAACTGCAAACTGCAGAAGAAAGACATAACAATCTACGCATTAACGCATTAACTTGACTAGGGACTTGGACTTGTGGCTGCGTGTCCTAAATGTACCTATTCACCTATTAGCTGACACATAAAAGCCCGGATTAAAGGCGCAGAAACCCGGACCGAATTATTACAAGGTTCTCACTACTCGGTGATAACTTCACCCAATCTCGATACCTCCTTTGTCGCTTGTCATTGCAACCGTATTCATAGTAGCCTGCAACACCGATTCGTCACCGAACGGTCCAGACCTCCGCGACCCCCTATCACTGCATCCGTCCAACTTCCGAAATCAGTCTTCACGAGAGCCTAGTCTTCTTCACCGCATCTTTTTCGGTTGCTCGGAACAGCGCGTCCTCCTCTGCATTCCAGCTCTGCTGGGGAACAGTGCATACTTTACCACTTCAAAACAAACCCACGTCCACACCCAGATTACATAATGGCCGACCGTGGTCACTACCGCGGTGGCCGAGGAGGCGGCGGACATCCCCGCGGAGCGCGGGGCGGACGAGGCGGAGGACGAGGTGGACACGGAGCTGACTCGGGCGCTAGCGGCGGTGCACCGCAGGAACGGGAACGCCCAAAGAAAGAGAACATCCTCGATCTAAGCAAATACGTAGATAAGAGGATCACCGTTAAATTTAATGGTGGCCGAGAAGGTCTGTCCTCGACCATGCCATCCCCCTTTCAGTCAAATTATATAACCCTGGACTACATCTATTGTAGTGCTAAACGATAATAGACTCGAGCTAACTTATATAACTATATGTAGTCACCGGTACACTGAAAGGTTATGATGCGCTTATGAACTTGGTCCTCGACGACGTGCAAGAAGTTATGCGAGGTAAGCCAGCTATCAAGTTCCTCAACTGCCTAATCTAGATCTACTATCCTATATAACTTGCCGGCAAAAACTAATGGACGCCTACGTAGATGATGAGGGGAAAGAGGCGACTCGATCACTAGGCTTAGTCGTCGCCCGAGGTACTCTACTAGTAGTCATCAGCCCAGTAGACGGAAGCGAGGAGATTGAGAATCCCTTCGGGCAACAAGCGGAAGATTAGAATCCCGAAGGCTTGCGGCTCAGCGAGTAAGAGGCCGGGATAATGAAAACTAGCGGGATTTCTTAAATGTCCCCCAGGAGTTTAGCATGGAAGAGACACCTGGAATATTTAGCCCTATGAATGGCATAGGTCTCAAATCAAATCGAATCAAATACGGCTATGATGCGAAAATGAAAAACTGAAATAGTAAGTAGTACGATATGCTTGCCGGAGATGAGATGTAAGTAAACAAGGCCATGACTAGGGTTAGGACATGTATGACAAATAACATACTTATATTGGCTCTACGTATACCCATCGAAAAAATATTATCGTACTATCGGTAAAATGGTGTTCGGCCCTTCGAGTTTTCAACTTCAAGCAGCTTATGCCTCTCTTACGCTACACCTTAGTGTTCAATACATGTTCATACACACGTCACCTATATCACGAGATAGTCGTGTATCCCTTTTAAAAAATGCCCTGTCATTTCCTGGAAATACACTGATATTGACAACCCAACGCTCCTATCTGTTTATATCAAAATAAAAATACACGCCTATTACATACTTTGGACCACAGGTTAATGAAATCATACCCTCTCATAAAACTTACCTCCTAATTCTAAGACGGCCGCGGGACAATGGCGGTGATAGACATATTGGAATAATAATCTTATTACGTCAGTTGCGTATGTGCTCCTGTCGTATCATATAGTGTGGCAGAACTCTGGCTCTAATATCGAATAAGTATACACGTAAAACTGACCTGTGCGTCTAACAATCAAATCACATCACAGTACCACAATCAGTCAAGATAATTCCACTCTTGCCAAGGAACAAATTCCTGAACGGTAAGAAACTTTGCTTATATTCTACTTTATACTCTGGGAGATAGTTAGGTATGTTTGTGATCATAGACGCTTCATTCACGCATGCTTCTTTCTTTTAAACCCGCATCTTGATCCGAAACTTTGCTGAGAAAACAAATCGCAATGTTGTATGTCCTTCCTTCGTAGTCAGCCTAGCCGACCCTGTCTATGACCGCGGGAAACGGCGACAAACCAAATCGCGAGGTTACTACCTGAAAGAGGAGCGCTATGGTGCATCTCTTGTTATGTATCGTCAGTATTCAACTGATTGACGAAAATATAGTCCAATAGGGCACGGAGGCTTCTCGATTCGGGCCGACTCCATATTGACGGCCGCAAAGAAAGGGATTCAAGTCGTAGTCCCACGGTCTTCGCGTGGAAGAGTGTCTAGATCTGTTGATGATTCTATGATTGTAATTTCGTGTTCTGAATTTGAAAGACGAGGCTTCGCTTCCTTGGTTGTTGTATGTTTCGTCGCGAATTCCTACGACTTTCGGATGAATTCTACTTTGAATATCCTATCCCATCGTGTATTGTTCTCAATGTCCTCATTGCAGAACCCTTCATAGGTGTTCCTGTTTCTCTCAAATTCAGAATATAGTCCTATTCCCCGAGTTCCTCTAGCTTTCCTCGTGTTATGGTGTTCATTTGATTTGCCAACTTCACCGAACTGTGAATCGTTTTCTTCTCCCCAACATCCGTGAAACATCAATTTGCTGATCTTGGGTGCTTGGGTAGTCGGAACCGCGCTCTCTCTAGTAGCGATTGGCCTGCGGCTTATTAGCTCCCTTAAGTAGGTCGCTAAATGCACTCTGGGCCTGCTTCTTCAACTCTTTGTATGAGACTACGAATGTCGATTGGTGGTCCCTACTAGTGAGATAAATCCTTTCATCGATACCGGCGTCTAGCTTATTTAGGCAACTAACGATGTGACCTAAATCAACGACCGGGTTTCCTTGGGCGTCAACTTGATGGAAGACATAGTCTCGGAAGAGTTTCAGAGTATAACGTTCTGATGTCTCAGCCCAGTTGGGGTCATTGTCAAATTCTGGTCGTTCGTTAATAGAGCCCAACTTCGCCATCAATCGCACTAATCGGCCATTCTCGAGTTCTCTGCCTAAGTGAGCGGTAACCTCGTCTTGGGTATTGAATGATGCCACCAGTACATCATCCATATGCTGAGCGAGATCGTATACTAGATGCTCCGCGGTCCTTGTCGGTACATTTTGTGGTGGGCTAAGTAGCCAAGATATCCTCTCTTTTAATTCCGGGGAATACGCTCTGCCTAGCTGCTCAAGGGGTAGGCGTAGGTCACCAAGATTTCGTGGTGGAGTGTTCGTTGCAATGCTCAGGATGAGTCGTCCCAGGCTATAGAAATCCTCCTGCTGTAACTCCTCAAGTTGACGAGGTACTTCAAAGTGCAGAACATCTAGAATTGAACATGCACCAAGCCTAATGCGATTCTTGTCCGTCAAAATTACTTTGTTGATGTCGACGCACCGCGCTGCAAGCTTAGCCTTGTGTATTGCCTTAAGAGCGCTAGCTAGCTGGACAAGATAGCTCCATAATACCCTCTCTGATACGGTTGTCGGGCGCCCGAAGCGGTTGGTAGGAAAGTGATGCTCCGCTAACGTCTTTGAGAGAGGATGATAACTGTGAACGAATACAAGGGAACTGTCATTGAAGTCTCTTGTAGTAAATGCTTCAATCGTAGTGACTATATTGGGATGTATAATCTTCTTCCACGAATTCACGGCTTTAATGGCTTCCTCATTGGTGAGGCGAAATCCTAACGTCTATTTAGTTCGACTTCTACTTAAATCAAATTGGGGACAGACCTTCGATTCGCCTTAAGCAGAATGTGTTCCCATTCTTGCGAGAGGTTGCTTTGAATACCCAACTCGGAAGGCCAAAAGTACTAGCTGTGCTTCGAATTTTGGTATCCAAAGGAACGAGAGAATGATAATGTTGGAGAGAAGGCAGCTGTACTCCAGGTTGACTCGGAAGGACTTGTCTAGTAGCTTCAGACTTTTTCTGAAGGTCTTCTCTGAGAGATTCCGGAAGGAATAAGTCATATATCTGTCGCTGGTAAGGCTGCATACTCTCTCTCCCCGTAGTGATAGGGTAGTAGAGGTGATATTGAAGCTATAGCCTGTCAGATAGTGGGTCAGGATGGATATATCAAAACCGGGGTCTTACAGGTTGAGACGGAGCCGCATAAGAATTTTGAGCGGTATAATATGGTGCACCTGCTCCGGCCAAGGCGTTGTGATCATCGGCGTATGGATTGTACGGTGTTGAAGGGAGTGTTTGATTTACACTGGACATGGTAAACGGATCATAGCCAAGGGATCCACCATCCGCCGAACCGTTACTTGCAGTCTGAGCCTCATTAACTTTTTGATCCAAAAGCCATCTTTCTTAGACTTACCGCAGTATTTAGATCATAATTTTGGGGGGTAAAATCTGGAAACGGTGCTGGTTTAAACAGCGTAGTCCCCGTATCTTGTTGTAAGGTCGAAGTTGTAGCTGTTGAACACGTAGGTAAGTATACAATAGGGCGTTAGGAAATAGGCGTCCTCACATGTAGAGGCACCCCGGGGTGTAAAAGGTGTAGCGTTCGTCGAGAAGTTAGACTTCTTGCCTCCAAGTTGAGTAGGGGTGAATGACGGGGATTCGACATTCAGAGATTTCTTAGAACCACTAGACAATGGGTTAGCAAGACTGGCGGAATATGTTGCACTGGAATCGTGAAAGCTGGCTGGATATCCTGGGCTAGCCACATCACTAAATTCTGGAATATATGTCCAAGGCGAGGGCCAACGTGAAGGAACTGAGGAACTTCTGTGAGTAGGACTCATGTTGAACTCTTCACGCTGGATAGAGCGGCCAGGAACCACGGTAATACGGGTACCCGGACGAGGCGAGAGGCGAGGCGCGAAGTCGGACCGGCTAGTAACTAAAGGGTTTATCGAAAGGGTTTTACGGCCCCCAAAATATCGCAGAGCCCAATACGATGAATATGCTGGTGTTGTAGGAGACAGCGGTGTTTCTGTGAGCTCGGATAATGGTTGAGAATAGCTGGCGGTTGGCTCCGAAATAACTCGCCCATGGCTTTTCCACCAACTGCAGGCCATTTTTGCCTCGAATTGTATAGCTCGTTATTTTATAAAACGACTAGCCCAAAGACACCTTCCTCTTTGCTTATGTCTAATAGCAATTATGATAATCGAGAAGACTAAAACTCTAGTAGAGGTCGGTAGATATCGAATAGTGATCAGATACTTCCACCCTATCATGTCGATTGCCTCGACCGTCGAGCGGCTATTTTTTATTGGCTAATATTTCTACATGCCCTAGTTTGAAGTCTCTTTGATTCTATACAGAACTGCTCTTGCTTCGTTGTAGAAATCTCGAATGGGACCAAAGAGGGAGCCAGCCAGGATATCGGGATTGAAATTCGGTGTATAAAACAAATGAAGAGCGTCACTACTTACTTGTCCATTGAATTAGAGGAGCCCTTATCATGGTTGAAGGCACATCCCTGATCTTCATAACGACAATGGCCATATATTAGTACGTTTCGACAGAGAGTGTCCTTGCTGTCTAAAAGGGTATAAGTCAACATAATTAGAATATTAAGATGAGTGAGTCAGCTAGGAGGCACGCCCATGACGCTATGACGCGCCCATTAACCCCATTGAATTGAAAACATACCACGCGTTTTAGGTCTTGGGGAGGCCATCTGCCTCCCTCTATCGGCAGTGCCGAACCGCGTATTCGCCATTGGTATTGGGTAGAGGTTGCAGATTCTCGTAGTTTCGGCATGGAGTAGTCGCTACGTAAGGTCAGGGGGGAAAGTATACGCTGCCCCTGTCGATACAACCCCTACATATATATATAGTCAGGTATTAGTTTGTAAGGTTAGAGGAGTGAGTAAGGGCGAGAGAATGTAAGAGTAGAAGAAAGTCCGAGTCAGAGTGCACGCACGTACTTAGACACCTCAAAGCGCTCCCATTTTTCTGGCAAGAATGGGCGAGCTCTCGCCCATAAATCAAAACAGTACGCTCAGCAAGGACGAAAGGGTTGAAACTATAATGCTAGAGTATCAATTGAAAGTATCAATTGAAAGGTTTAGGAGGCGAGTGTGAGGCTGACGATAAGGGCACAAAGATACGATGCGGATGTGTTTAAGCACGTCAGTAGAAGTTGCAGTGAAGTTGTAGTGGGATGACGGCGCCAGATTACTAAGAGCCGGAAAGCAACTTAATTGGCCCCGACGTCCGATGCCAAGATGTCCTCTCTCAGCCTTGGAAATAATTAATTGTAAATGCACAGACAATAAAGGAACTGACATGGAAGAATATAAGCTTTTCATGCACGGTACTATACTGTTTATGATAAAAACTAAGCTATTATAGGCTTCAAGTCTAAACGTTGTGCTTCACGCTAGTCCTTTCAAAGTAATACATACGTATTAAACTTACATACCTGCCTTGCGTACTACGTACTACGTACTGACTTACAATTAGGTTAGGTAACTCAACTTATCAGCCCGGAAGGCCACCAAACCTAACAATCCCCAGTCTTCATTTGTCTTCACCTCAGGCCAACTTACTCATCCAGCTTGTTGAGTATCAACCTAAGCACGGTACCCTTATAGTTCTTAAATCTTCATTCAACCGGTAGAACAATAAACTATTACAGGTAGTTAGTGGCATATTGAAAGTTTTCTAAAACGACTAGTGGCAAGAAGAAGAAGAAGCTATCGAGGCTTTAGATCTATTCAAACTCACAACTTCAAAGGACGATACCGACTTATTAGGAATCGCTAATTCATACGACATATGGAGCCCTGATATTAAATCACGCAAATTTTATCCTACGCTTAGTCGTACATATCAAGACGATGGCAACCAACGGCGATATCGATATAGGCCAGCTCTCTCCGGAGCAGCAATCGGCCCTCGAACAGTACACCCAGGTCACAGCACAAGATGTTAAGGATGCGGTGCCGTTGTTAGAGAGGTCGCAATGGAACGTACAAATAGCAATAGCTAAGTTCTTCGATGGCGAAGGTCCCGATCCCGTAGTCGAAGCTATGGCCGCTCAGAACGACATTCCCCGACAAGCAGCGAGACACGAAAACCTACAAGAGAGTTTCGCAGCATCCGCACGGCCTTCTGGACGCTCAGTCCCGCGAGCCAGACCTGATCCTGCACCGAGGATAGTGCCTCAACCTCAGACGACCACTCGCCTGCCTTTCGTCCTATCTATCCTATTCGCTCCCTTCAACTTCGGATACAGAGCCGTCTCGACGCTCTTCCGCACATTCATGTACATATTCGCATTTCTCCCCGCATCTATACGGCCCCGCATGATAACCACGAGTATGACGAGTGGGTGGAAGGGCACCATGGGCCGGCGCATGCTGATGCCGCGTGATACTGCCTCCCGGTTCAAGCGAGAATTCGAAGAGGAATATGGTAACGACAGCCTACCCTTCTTTGAGGGTGGTTTCGCGCAAGCCCTCGACTTAGCCAAGAAGGAGCTCAAATTCCTCCTAATAGTGCTCATGTCGCCCGAACACGACGACACAGAATCTTTCACACGGGAGACCCTACTCTCGCCTGACGTCATCAGCTTTGTCAACGAGCCCAACAACAATATTGTCCTATGGGGCGGCAACGTCCTCGACTCCGAGGCGTACCAAGTCGCCGCCGAGTACAACTGCACCAAGTTCCCCTCCTCATGCCTAGTGTGCCTGACCCCTAAAGAGGGCAGCACCCGCATGAGCATCGTCAAGCGACTAGCCGGCCCTATACCCCCCGGAACCTACCTCGCCGAGATCCAAACCGCAATCAACAAGTACGCCCCCGACCTAGCCGGCGCCCGCGCCGAACGCACTGCCCACGAAGTCGCGCGCACCCTGCGCACCGAACAGGACTCGGCATACGAGCGCTCTCTAGCTCGCGACCGCGAGCGCGCCCGCCAGCGCAGGGAAGCCGAAGCCGCCGCCGCCGAGGCCGAGCAGCGCGCCAGAGAAGAAGCCAAAGCTGCAGAACGCCGCGCCGCCCAGCGCCAACAGTGGCGACGCTGGCGCGCGTGTACCGTGGCCCCCGAACCCGAAGCTTCCGCCAAGGATGTCGTACGGCTCGCTCTCAAGATGCCCGACGAAGCGGACGGGCGAATCGTGCGACGGTTCGTGGACACGACTACGGTGGAGGAATTGTATGCTTTTGTGGAGTGCTACGATTTGCTCAAGGGAGGAGAGGAGCTCGATGACGATGTGGAGGAGCCCGAGGGCTATGAGCATGAGTACAAGTTCCGGATTGCGTCGCCCTTGCCCCGAGTCGTTTACGAGCCGGATTCTACTGCTACGCTGGCGGATACGATTGGCAGGTCGGGTAACCTGATCGTCGAGAGTATAATCTCCGATGAGTCGGATGATGATCAGGGTGCAGTGTAGAATATATACAGACTTACTTAATATACCTAGCAGAATAGAACCATTATATGAATATGTAATGAATCGGTCACTATTTGTAGAGATGTGTTATGTGTGGGGTTCGTTAATGCATCGTGTTAAACAACCAGAGCTATGCTGCTATCCAACCCTATTTTATCCCAGACGCCCTACTACTAGTTTACAATGTAGAGTTACAGCTATACAGGTACATAGGTATATAATGTTTAGAGCCTCATCAAGCGAGGATTTTGAGTACAAGTTCTACAATCACCTTTTTTACTAGGCAGTCCTACACGGACTATTTCTTGAGTTAGTTTTACACAGGGCCTTCGTCCGGCCCAGCTGGTATCACGGGATACTTCGACGAGTTCGGGAGCAATACGATCAGGAAGCACAGCGCTGTATTAGAGTATGAGCAATTTGAATATAGACCAACTATTATTTTTGGGTATTGTTTACCTGTGTGACCTTCCAGTGAACCGTCCTGTTTCGCCCGATTTCCCTCCACATATTTGTGGCGTGATCGTAAAGAAGAAGCTTGAGATTTGTTGAGGTGAGGATAAGTAGCGGGTACGTTTCGTCTATCCGCACAATCCCATACTCGATATTCTCTAGACATGACTCGCTTCCTCTATCAGCATATAACCAGCTATTAAGACGCACCGGTCATTAGGTTAGACATTAATGGCCTTGTTGATTGTCCTTAGCAAATCTCTGGTGGATCCGAGCAATCTGTTCATCGACGTTCACGCTCTGCATATGGTTCATGTGAGCCTGGCTCCGGCCATCCGGATTGCCGTCGAAGCTATTCAGTGCTGCTCGCTTTCTTCTCGCCATCTCTTCTTCAGATATGGGTTGTCCGGTAACGCCGTCGAACAAGTCTCCTCGTTGGCTTGCGAATCGTTTCAAGTTATTAGCAACATCAGAATGTGACAGATTCGTCGTCGCATATCGCGATTCGGCTTTGGCCTTCTGCTCCTTCCATTGCGGGTCTAGTAACTCGATTCTCATGTGCGCTTCTAGCTCATTCATCGGGATTTGCTGATGACAATTTGGACAGAGGGCCATTTGAGTTCCTTGTCGGTTAGCCGCTCGCGCAGCCGCGCGAGGAACATAATTTTCTTTAATCTTCATCGGAGCGGCACCGCCCTTGGCCTCCGCCTGAGCATGTTGCATACGCAGACGAGCTTCCTCTCTCTCTCGTATCCGCTGTGCTTCCTCATCCTCCTGAGTGCCACCGGGGCGTGGTGGCGGGGCCATCTGATACGCACCTTGAGCCGGGGGTTGAGCGCCTTGTTGTACGGGATGATGAGGAAGATTGCAATTAGGTGGTTGTGCGTATCCGCCATAGGCGTTGTCTTCGTCAGTAGGCATCGCTTCCTCAATACGTAGGTTAGCACTGACGGAGACCTTGGCCTTCTGTTCAAGAGAAGCATATTGTAGTTCAGAGAGGGAAGTCGGTGGGGGTAGGTTTGCTTGGTCATCAGCTTCGGTGAAGACTACGGTCTCGACAACAACGAAATCGTGCCAGTCGATCTGGGCGTAAGATAGTCGTTCCTTTTCTTCATCCTCCTCCTTCTTCTGCTTCTCGTCCTCTTGGTGTTTCAGCCATTCGGCCCTTTGTCGTGCTCGGCTCAGAATACGATATTTATCATCGATATTCTGCTGTAGCTCAGCAATCCTCTCTTGCTGAACCTTTCCCCCTTCGCCATCGATACCGCCGGCTCGTAGAAGCATCGAGTATTGATCGATGAGGTGCTGGAAGAAATTGTGAAGACTATGGTTCGGTCTCAGGAAGTCAAATTGGTAGTTACCAGCCTCTCTTTGCGAGAGTGCAGTCATGAACTGCCTACCGTTCTTTGCAACGAAGAGTGCAGTCAATTTCACAACCTCGAGATCCTGGGCGCTGATATTGGGCATACGCGCGGAAAACTGGAAGTCTGGAGGTTTTGGAGGGCCTTCGGGTTTCGCTTCGACAACGGCAGCGGCTTCGCCTACCCGGCCTGCAGCTACAGCAGTGCCGCGGCCCTCTTTGATCTCGCTTAACCTCCATAGATAGTATGGGTTATATGGGTCGGCATTGCTAAGGAAGCTGAATTTAGGATTATTCTTCTCTTTTTCTCGGACGCGATCTTCAAATGCGATACCATTTCGGGCAACGAAGCCGGCTGTTTTCTCAAGGATAGCTATAGATAGGTTAGCTCAGCGCGACTTCTGATTCAGTAGGATGATGCTTTCGACTTACTTCTGAATTCTTTGGGTGGTAAGACAACACCTTGGGGAGGTTTGATGTCATCCAAAACTGCAGCTGCATCACCATTAGTATCGGTAGCCATATTGATGGCAGTTTCAGAGAGCCTCCCTCGAAATTTGTAGATGTGAACGCGATTGTGGAGGCTGCAGCAAGTAAGGATTGGCTAATTGCGCGATGATGTCGCAGCAAAGAGCTTTAACAAAATATCATGAAGGTCGGTTTACCCATGTACCGTAATCGGATTAAAATATAATCCGTAAATTTAACCAATCAAACTGTCCAAACTGTACTTCGGAATCAAAACTGTAACTTTTGTACCGTTATCTTTTGACTTTCCAATAACATAACGGTAACCCAATAAATAACCCGATACAATTACCTCTGATAACACTATACCTGTTACTCGTGTTCATAAATTACGGAATTGCGGGGGCACTTCGAATTTCAATTCGTTCTAGACCCTTAGGCGCATACATTAGGTACATAGCGCGGCTTCACAAGGCTTGTAGCGAATTAATTCACCTAATCCACTAGCGCATGTGGTAGAGGTCTGCGACTGGCAGCTGAATCTTTTTTTGGACCCTAGAAAGCCTAGAAAAGACTACCCTATCAGCCCCTGGGGGCAATCCGCCAATCCGGATGAGGCCACTGTAGCATCAAGACTATTACTCGGATTAACCATGCAACTGAATTTTGAAGATTGCTCGAAAGCTCAAAATAAATTCTGACGCCGTATTCACACCACCCCTTTAAACCCCCTTCAGCCTTCAGCCCTTCCCACAACCCATCCCGCCGCACTGCGCACTGCGAATTGCAAACTGCGATTAACTTTGCGACTAAAGGGGGGAAATATCTGAATTCTCTCAATTCTTTTAATTTTTATCCCACCTCTTTGAATGGGACTTTCATTATCTTATTATTTTATAATGATTGTTTCTACTTCTTGACTTTCGTTAATCAACCTGAATTCACTTCTTCGGTGTGATACTTTTTTTGCCGCGTAACCAAAAAAACCTTTTGTTACACGAGCAAGCAATTTCGACGCGAGTAATTCCAGAAAAAAAGGCCACAAAGCGCCTCCTTTCTTTCCATTTTGTCCCAATTCAATACTATCGAGTTTTATTGCAGCTGCATCCCACATCCCGCATCCCGATTCAATATGGCGAGGTCCAGTTCGGCCAAGCCGCCCGCTACAAAAGGCGGTCCCTACACACCTCCGAAACCCAAGGATCAAGTCAAACACGATGACTATACTTCAGAGGGTGTCGAGGATAATGATGTCTTCTTACTACCCTTCTCTGACTACCAGGTTATGTTAGTCTTGACCATTATTGGTGCCGTTGTGCGACTATTCCGCATCTACCAACCCTCGAGTGTCGTCTTTGATGAAGTACAGTAAGTTCCCTATTAAGCTATAGCCATGGAGGTTATCAATATTAATACCGGATGTTCTTTATAGCTTTGGTGGGTTTGCGACTAAGTATATCAAGGGTAAATTCTTCATGGACGTCCATCCACCGTTAGCTAAGCTACTTATTACACTTTTCGGTTGGCTTGCTGGTTTTAACGGTGACTTCGACTTCAAGGAGATTGGCAAGGATTATCTAGAGCCAGGTGTCCCGTACGTGGCTATGCGACTATATCCTGCCATTTGTGGTATTGCCTTGATCCCGACTATATTTTTGACTCTGAAGGCTGCCGGTTGTCGTACGGCTACGGCCGCCCTCGGTGCTGCTTTTCTCATCTTCGGTAAGCTCCCCTTCTACTAACCACTTGACAATAACCTTACGCTTACATGCAACATAGAGAATGGTCTCCTCACCCAAGCCCGTCTGATTCTTCTCGATTCTCCCCTAGTCGCCGCTACTGCATTCACTGCGCTCGCCTTCACATCCTTCACCAACCAACATGAACTGGGTCCTTCAAAGGCGTTCGATGCCGGCTGGTGGTTCTGGCTTTTCATGACCGGCGTGGGAATGGGAATTACACTCAGCATCAAATGGGTTGGACTCTTCACAATTGCCTGGGTAGGAACCTTGACTCTCGTACAATTGTGGGTGCTCCTTGGTGACACCAAAACTGTCACCATTCGCATCTTTGCGAAGCACTTTTTGGCCCGTGCTTTCTGCTTGATTATTATTCCCATTACCATATACTTAGGTATATTCGCTATTCACTTCATTTGCCTCTCAAATCCTGGCGACGGAGATGGATTTATGAGCTCTGAATTTCAGGCTACGTTGAACAACAAGGGCATGCAAGATGTGCCGGTCGATGTTGCCTTCGGCAGCCGTGTCTCCATCCGGCATGTTAACACTCAGGGAGGATATCTTCATTCTCACCCCCTAATGTACCCTACAGGCAGTCAGCAACAGCAGATCACCCTCTACCCCCACAAGGATGACAACAACCTATTCTTGCTCGAGAACCAGACTCAGCCTTTAGATATTAATGGTGAACCTATCAACGGAACCGGCGCTTGGGACAATGCAAAGAACATAACTGAGAACTACATCAAGGATGGCGATGTGATCCGACTATATCACCTGGCTACTCATCGTCGCCTTCACTCTCACGATGTTAGACCGCCCGTTAGTGAAGCCGACTGGCAAAATGAAGTATCTGCATATGGATATGAAGGATTCGCTGGTGACGCTAATGATCTATTCCGTGTCGAAATTGCCAAGAAGCAGTCTCTCGGGTCCATCGCCAAGGGGCGGCTCCGAACCATCCAGACCAAGTTTAGACTCGTCCACGTTATGACTGGTTGCGTCCTATTCTCTCACAAGGTGAAGTTACCGGATTGGGCATCTGAACAGCAGGAAGTTACTTGTGCCAAAGGTGGTACTCTTCCTAACAGCTTATGGTACATTGAGTCCAATGCGCACCCGCAATTAGACAGCGATGCCGAGAAGGTCAACTACGTTAACCCCGGGTTCCTCGGCAAATTCTGGGAACTGCAGAAGGTTATGTGGAAGACCAACGCAGGTCTGGTTGAGTCTCATGCCTGGGACTCTCGTCCTGAGTCTTGGCCGATCCTCCGCCGTGGTATCAACTTCTGGGGTAAAAACCACCGCCAGATCTACCTAATGGGTAATCCCATCGTATGGTACACCTCAACCCTCGCCGTTGTTATTTACGTAGTCTTCAAGGCCATCGCTGTCCTTCGATGGCAGCGCAGCTGCAACGACTATGAGAGCGCCACGTTCAAGCGATTCGACTACGAGATTGGAACTTGGGTGCTCGGGTGGGCTTTCCACTACTTCCCCTTTTTCTTGATGGGACGTCAACTCTTCCTTCACCACTACTTCCCTGCGCTGGTCTTCGCTGTCCTAGCATTTTCCCAGTTTATCGACTTTACTACGGCTCGATTTGCAAGCGTCAGGGGAAACTCTATCATCAACAAGGCCAGTGTAGTTACGCTATTGGCTATCTCCGCCGCTGTCTTTGCCCTATATTCGCCCCTCGCATACGGAAATGCCTGGACAAAGGCAGAATGCAACCGTGTCAAGCTATTCAGCACTTGGGATTGGGATTGCAACACTTTCTTGGAGAGCGTAAGTATCCCTCCCCATGGCATGCCGTCAAGAGAGCGAGTTTGAAGGTAGATGTTCGTGTTCTTGTTCCTATATGGATTTTGGATACAGATATGAAGTGCATATGTCAGGATTTACAAATTATCAATTAGACGGTAACTAGACTAATGCATATCTCTTGTATAGTACGAAGCATACTCAGGACTTGCAGCCCCAATCGCCCAGACCTCTCAACCCGCTGTAGACAACAAAAACCAAGTGCCAGTCCAGCCCGCAGCTGATAACAATCAAGATGCCCCAAAAGTGGGTATCTCGGGGGCACCCAAGTTCGAACCCCAGGGTCAAAAAGTGATCAACCGCGAAGAGCGAGTCGAATACCGGGACCAGGACGGCAATATCCTCAACGAAGAGCAAGTGAAGGCGCTCGAAGGCAAAGTCGAATTCAAGACCAAGTACGAAACGAGAACGCGCGTCGTCGACGCCAACGGCAACGAAGTCGAAGTTCCAGTAGAAGAGCTCGCCGCCGCGGGCGTCGCGCCACCACATCCTGATGTTGAGGGTGCTAACCAGGAGACTAAGAATTTAGTGAGAGATGACACTATCCCTCAGGAAGCGTCATCAAGCAAGGATGGTGAGAAGGAAGCCGAGAAGTCTGTCCCTAAGCCAGCTAGCGAGGGTAACGAGGCAACTGTTTAAACGCCTTAGTTCATTGCTCTAGTTCCTGATTTAGCCTCACGTTTCATTGTGTGACAAAGTCATGGCGAAGAAAATCTCCACTGATGTTGGTTCATTCTAAATGTAAAGAGTTTACCCGGACGAACGGCGTTGTCCGCTAGACTCGTGTATATCACCATATTAATGAAGATCACGGAAGGGGAAAACTTTTTAGGAATGCGGAATGCAAACAAAAAGAGATAGGGATATTGGAGCGATTGTCTTGCGAAGACAAACTAGAACCATGTCAGTTATACCTGCTGATCGCAGCCTATTTCCTTTAATCTGAAGATTTTGATGTGTCCATGTGTTCCATCTATTACATGACTGTCGTATTCTCTCTGTAGTGTCAGGATGAGCGTCATCGTCCATAACGGGTGGGCTATTCGTGTCTCCAACCTCCAACTACGATGCCTTGCTTTGACGGGCCGTAGTTCCGCTATACTGACGTGAATATGAGTACTATGATGCTTCCAATCGCAGCAAGTTCCGTCTAGACATTTAAATGAATATACGTGAGACAAGCTCCGACTATCGCCCATTAGATTTATAAAGGTGCGGGGGAACGCCCATGGATATGTTAATGAACTTAATAGCTTGACTTCAAAATTCCCTCGGTCAAGTCAACATTAATATATACCTAAAGTTAACTCTTTACCCTCGATGTCGTGTAATGTCGAAATCGTAATCTCTTGCCTCTGCGGTGCTGCAAAGCAGACGGTCGTATTGCGCACCAATGAGTTCACATCCAGTCCTTTGGGTGTTGACTTATGCCACTGCTACGATTGCCGCCATAGTTCCGGTCTACTATGCGTATCGTATGCACCTATCCAGGTGCCGCGATCTCTAAACGACCTCGTCGCATATCCAGTCGAGACTGCGCGGCCCTCTGCCACTACTCCCCAGCGTTATTTCTGTGGCACCTGTGGCTGCCATGTATTTCGGTACTCTGCCGTTGGCGACGATGAAAACGATAAGTCCTGGGAGGTAGCTACCGGTACTATCATCGGACGTGTTGGCGCCGACGATGAATTAGTAGAAGCGGACGACGAGAAAGAGCCGCTCCTGAGATATGCTAGACATATCAATACTGATAACACTAAAGACGGCGGTCTATCCCCTTTCATCAAGCTCATCAAGGGGGCCGAGTTGCCCGAAAAGAGCCAGATAACCGACGACAGAGGCGGGGATAGCAAGGATATACTGGAAGCGCACTGTCACTGCAAAACAGTCCGCTTCTATATTACACGCCCTGATGCCTCGAGCCAGCTCCCGTGGTCCGGGTTTTCGGACCTTATAGTTCCAGCCGTGACCTCGCCGCGCGAAGCCATCGATAACCCGCGCGATGAGAAATGGTGGCTGCGCCCGCATAGTAAGGATAATCCAGACTTGACGAGGTATATGGCCGGTACATGTGCCTGTCGGTCTTGCCGATTAGCTGCTGGATTTGAAATACAGACGTGGGCGTTTGTGCCGCGGAGTAATATTTTCTTTCTACTGCCTACTTCTACCTCCTCACCTACGCCTGCTTCTCTCTCAAATATATCATCCGATGCCCTCCCTCTCGATTTTTCTACCCTCCAGCAGACCTACTCTCCCCTCCGCACCTACGAAAGCTCGCCGGGCGTCTTCCGCGAGTTCTGCCCGCGCTGCGGCGCCTCTGTCTTCTGGCATGATCGCTGGCGCCCTGATCTTATCGACGTGAGCGTTGGGTTGCTAGCTGCGGATGAGGGGGCGCGAGCGGAGAGATGGTTGGATTGGTGGCGTGGAAGAGTGAGTTTTCAGGAGGATGCTGAGAATGGAAGGTTTGGAGAGGTGGCAAGATGGGGGAGTGATGTGATAGGGATGTTAGCAGAGGGGTTAAGGGAGCGAGAAGAGGAAGATGGGATGGTGGGTAGTTGAAGAAAAGGATAAGGGTGAGGACTTTGAATAGGGGTTTGGGTTGTATATAATATGAAGTTGATGTAATAAGTTAACTAACAAATTGCCCGTTCGTCGTTACCAGGCAAACTTTACTTACACGAGAACATAGTCCAGTTGGTATACTAATTAGATATGTTACTACACAATGCTTCAACATCTTAAAAGGGGGGGGGGGGGGGGGGGGGGGGGGTGTCGATTCCCCCAAGAGTAGACACAACCACTATGCTTAAACAGGCAGCTAACACTCTTTTTTAATCTTACCGAGTCCTCAACTTTCATAGGTTAAACCTGAATTTAGAATATAACAGAATATGTGCCTCTGGAGAGCGATACAGAGAGTATTTCATAAAAGGGATGGGTATGTTAGTCACTATGATGGCCAATAATAAGTCGCGCGCATGACTTATAGCTTTATTGACCATATATCAAGATATTATCTTACGAACCTCTTCCACTTAGAGTATATCAGCTATTGTGTATCACGTCGATCTACTAGATAGCAAGCAGCCTTGGGGTTGACGAGCCAGTCCTGTCGACATCCTGATTTTGCTTATATTCCCATGACTATAAAGCGCAGTGATATCACTCGGTTGACAGTGCTTTCTTAAACCCTTACAGGCCAAGTTATTCAATGCATTTTACATAACATTGTTAGAAGAACTCTTAGTTACTATATCAACGTTCTTGTAGAATTTGGATGACGCTTTTAAGATCGAAACACTAATATCTCTAGGCGCTAGGTAAGTCACTTCTAAAATTATCATGGACAACTGTAATGATTCCAATAACTTCCGGCGGTCGAATTAGATCAATTGAGGTCAGACGCGCAGCTCAAATTTCCAGACGGTCGATGAGACCAGTCATATTTCCGCAGCATCATTCACTCGTCTACCAAAAGCTGCTTTGACATTTCTAAGACACTTGGGTAAGGTCAAATAAAAGGTCAGATAGAAGGTTAAAAGCTCGCAGTTAGTGTAACCAACTGATATGACCTTCGATTTGAAATACTCTTTATGCTGTACAACACTTTACTAGTATTGACCAGAACAAGGCACATAGGCACTATAAAACGAGAAAATAAGAAGTATAAGATCGAAAGCTACTAGATAACACAAGAACCATCTCAATTCCATCAATTCACTTCAGCATTAGGGAGCAGGGTTAGGTTGAACAGACGCCTTATACGATTCTCAACACAAAAATATTTAATTAAAAATCCATCAAAAATAAATCTCCCTCAAAGACCAAAAAAATCAAATGGTCCCAGGCGGGCTCGAACCGCCGGCCTTCGCATGGACTAAGATATAATTACATAGTAACTATATTAGTACGACGCTCTAACCTACTGAGCTATGGGACCGGACTTGGATGGAATTTTTGTACGGTAACGCGCATTTTAAGTTGCGCACAAACAGTAGTGGGAGTAAGAAAAAAAAAAATCCTTTACTTCCATTTTGTATACCGGCCGGACTTCGTGAAATGGGTCGGATCCACCCCGGTCCGCTCGAGACCATCCCGGGATTAGCTCCTTACAAGTTTTAAAAGGAATTGTCTTAAGTATGCTAGACATTTAAATAAATTAAAATTTCGAGACTCGATACTTTTACTTTCTGTGTATAGTCTTAGATGATCGGTTATGGAAGGTAGTCGTAGTATATGGTACGTATATGTTTTTAAGTACACGTCTACCGTCTCTTGAACACGGCTACTCGCATATCGAATTTTTTTTGCTGGAACTCGACGATTCTTCAACATCGGCTAAGCGCACATGGATTAACTCTTATATACCAAACGCTGTTTGCGCGGGAGTTCACTAAGATACATCCTTTAAAGGGATCAGCGATCCAATTGAAAGGATATAGTGGGCTAGTGAAGACGACCTATAACTACCTAGGTACCAAGTACGATATTTTAAAAAAAATTTATCTATAAACTTCAAGAGCATAAACACGTCAGTCTCAATAAATCAGGCTGATAAAACGCAATCGTTGGTTTACTTTTATCGTTTACACCTGAGGATTTACGCCGTCTCAAATCCCATAAAAAGGGGGTGGAGGATAGACGTCCGAGCCAACACTATACGCGTATAGAGAATGTACATTCCAATGTATGGCTACCTAGTTACAAATATATGAATTTATTATAGTATAACTAACACATATTTACAGGAGCAGAGAGAATAAACAAGACGTGATACTAGGCTATCTAGTTATATATATCATCTAGTTATAGTCTACAAGCATTGCGAAATACTCCCAATATCTATGAGTGACAGGAGACGTAACATAATCATAACCTTCATACGGAGTCGTAATAAGACAGCTCCGTCCGGCGTAAAAGACTTAGGGTCCGGAAAAGGGGCCACTTATCCGAATATATAATACGCCGTCTGTCGCATCCACAAGTGAATACCCGCCGATATCAACCCCTTTACTCCGCCACCGCCTCAAAAGGAGAACCCCGGAAGGTCCCGAAACTCACCCCTACCGGGACGAACCGGGCACAGCGCCGAAAATCCGGCATCACCCGAGCGCCGGGTCAAGTCGGCACCACGGGACAGTATCTCTCACCCGCCTCGTCTGTGCGACGATAAGCAAGCAAGGAGGTCACGATAACCTCATTCCCCCATCAACGTAGATACTTCTAGGCTGGATCTATTTGTCTATGCCATCCTGATACTTTCGCCACCTACCAACCCGAACAAGCCCCGGCTAGCCACCAACTCTCCTCGTAAGTCCTTGCGCAACGTCGGCATCTCCCAGCCGAGCGACTCGTCGTGGCGTTTTTTCGAAGGATTCTAAGAAGGAATAGAGTGCGATCTGTGTCGCACCCCACGCATCACATGCCTACGTCTTTCTTTTTCTTTCCCCCTTCCCTTTCCCTTTCCTCCCCTCACATTCCCTCCCTCCCTCATCTACCGCGACCTTGACAAATCAAATATGCCATTTGATATTATATCGCCGACGACGGCAAAGCCATCGCTAGCCGTAGTCCCAGCTTCCAGATCACCCGTAGGACTAGGGCAACTTCCCTTCGACCTTCAGCCCGCAGATCAACCCCCTGTTCCGGGACGAGTGCATGTTATGGTAGGACTGTAAGCTGGTCCAACACTACGGAACAAATAGCCAAGATGGAACAAGCTTTTCGCATGCAGCATCGAGGTTGCGCGGCAGGCACGAGCACTGCTACCTACGTAGTGTATAGGCTGTCATGTATGGCTGAGTACTATATAGCTACCGGTATATGACTGCCAGACCATGTACGGCAGTGCATACGATGTAATGCAAATACACGCGTGCATGTACGGTATGCGTATGTATACGACATGTACAATCTATCTAACTAGGTGGAGGCACCGTAGCAGCCCTATATACATACATGGGGGGGAGCAGAGGTGACATGGCATGGCAATTTTTTTTCCCCGTGCGTTGGAGACGGGCCAGACGAGTGGGAAAAGGAGACCCTGTATGTAAACTAACAAAGCCCCGATGCGTCCAGCTCGAAACAGAAAAGACGTTGTTTGCTGTGGCACACCGACACCAGCACGCACCCAACGTCCATCATACTGCATGACACCCTCTCGCCAGATCCTTCCCATCACCTCGCCGAAAGAAGAAGGGTGAGAGAGAGCAAAACTCAAGGATATTTGGATATTATAGCTCAGCCCAATCGTTCTTAATTATTATAACTCAATCGGTAAGGCAGGGGACCAGAAAAAGGCCTCGTCGCCGGTTAAGGTAACAGAGTAGGTGAATTCGGGTAATATGGCGTCGTGGTAGGGATTTGTGACGGCAAAGTCTCGAGGAAGTATACAAGACTTTGGCGGGACATCCCGTCGACTCAGCTTCGAGACCGTGGATATACACTACAGCACGGGAAATAAGTCACACTCAACATTACTCACTACGGTCACCCGTTTCTCACTCGCTCACGACAGGCCGACCTTTGCCACGTCTAGCTGAGGACCGAAGATCTCACGCGCATCTGGTCCATCTAAGATGAAATCGCGCGGCAAAGCAGAGCGAAGGGCGAGAATCCACAGTATTATGGGTATAGGTCTAGTAGGGCCTTTCCTACACCGGCACTTATCTCATGATCTGCTGTCGTTGCAGCCCGTGCCGTGTTCGCAGTGCACAGGTTAGGTAATGCGATCTATATATGTAGTCCGAAATCTATCTCTCGCCCACTTCCTCCTCAAGATGCGGCTCACTTGGCGTATCGTTGCCAAGGCGCCCGACATCTCGCCAGCGCCCGTCTTGCAGGCTGGGCAGGGGACTTGGAGGGAAGGGGACCTGACAAGCCGGTAGAACCTTGCCTAAAGGCGCTATTTCCATCGCAGTGACGTCGCCCTGTTGCAAGAGACGTCCTTTTCCGTATAGCAGTCGTACTATACGGTACCATATTAAACTATGCGCGATTGACACTGATGATTGACACTGCGTATGCGTAGAGGGATATCTCGACTTGCAGTACACCACGTATGTACGGGTCCCTACGTACCTCGTCAGAAAGCTCGTGCGTGTGACTGTAGATACCCACTAGAAAGGCTATTCTGGCCGATGGGAGACAACCGGCCGGTTCATCCTTACATAGCGTACCTTTTGCTGCACACGTCTCTCGCCCCGTAAGCTATCATGCACTTGTTTCAACTGCTAAACCAACAATACCTTAGGTACCGTAGTAGCAGTAGAGCCGAGGCCTAGCAGGAAAATTAGATATACTAGTAATAAGCCGATGCTAGTTCGGGATTGGAAAGCCGGAGCAGAGCACCGGGAAATTCCCCCAACTACTTAAAACCCCCCACGTAAAGTGGAAGCAATGCAATTGAAATCCAACCGTGTCGGGGTTGTATCTAGGTATGTATGTATGTATGATCACCCGCCAAAGGGGAGTAAAGCCGTGGTCTTACTTGACGGGATCTGATAATTTTCTCGTGATGATACCCTAGCGGGATCTCACCCAGCGTGCGCGCGCGCAGGTGTAAATGAAATCGCGATGGTATAAGATGAGATGAGATAGATGTGTATGTATGGACGTATACTATGTAGAAAGCGACAAGTATGTACGTAGTAAGTCTGGAATTTCAGATGACGGATCGCCGATTTTTGCTTAATCGAAACCCGGGCAGGCTGGCAGGTAAGCTGCACCCATATCATCACTCTTCCGTATCACCCCCCCTTCCATTCACATCGGCCGCCTTGAGCTCGCAGATGTATGAGAAATCCTATCGTCACGGCGGGCACGAATCACACGGGCTAGGGAACACCCCCTTGCCAACCGCATCGAGTGAGGAATGCCCGGCGATGCGGCAAAAGCGGCAACAAGCGCGGGAAGGGGATGATTTAGCCATTCATATTAGTTTTAGCTTCTGAAGTTCCTCAAAGCCCTGAAGCCCTGAAGCCCTAGTAGTTCTACACGTAAGTTGTTAGCCGGGATCGGTACCGAAAGTAACGGGGGGAAAAAAAGGTCCACTACTACACGTGTATGAGTGTAGTTGATATGGCTTCGACTGTCTACGTCTCGTCTTTTCGGACGAGTCATTCGCTAACTTCATCCACTATTCATTATCTCCGTAATAGGCAGTCGAAGTTTCGGCGATATTACTGTAATTGCCATTATTCATATCAATCTTTTTCGCGCGTCGGCAGGCAAAAGAGAAGAACATGTGCCCGAAAAAAGGAGCAAAAGAAGATCTTCCCCCACACGTGGTAGCACACAGTTCCCAGCGCTTTCCCTTTCCCTGCTTCTGGGTTCTGGAAAGTGGATTACCGCATCCGGATAGATAACATGCCAAAGCGGAGAATGCGATTGGCCAACTTTAAGAGCCGGGGTCCAGGTATTTCATCCATACAACCATACAGCCATAGTACGGTAGTACATGCATAAATTGACGTAGTACACAATTTATGTACTTATATGTAATGTACATACCCTACTGTCAAGATGTGCATTATGGATACCTACATGTATGAAAGTATCCATATGTATGTATTGTACCTGCTGTTAGATTGATGCGAAAGATAGTACCCAAGATAGAACCATAACCAGGGCAGGGAGCCATTTTGGTAGACGCACCATGCAGGTTCTGCATTTGCGAAAAGGCTTGTTTGTGCTTGGCTGCTACGCTAGACAATTTGAAGGGCGAACCAGTTGTGAGCGCTAGGCGAGACGATTCATTGGATGCGAACGAATAACGGGCCAGCGCTGGAGTTGTTCATTGGAATTTCCGTACGCCCGGGAATAACGAGGACTCGCGACTGCGCTAGCTTCTAAGATTTGAATAAAACGCTTAGTGTATTTAGCGCGTCTTAGCTGATTTATGTACGAAGTACGGATTACGGTCACTCGATCAGCGCGAGACGCCGACGCCGACGAGCTAGGGTTATGTAAGTGGTTTAGCTTTGTAAGTAAGAAAATACAAGTATACTTATAATTAATGTACATATTTAATTAATTCTGTTATATGCATGCATGCAATCTTCGACGGTACCTGTGTAAATCTCACAAGATCTAAAGGCAAATCTAAGATCCTCACTTTCGCAAATCATGATATCGGACCATCACGCATTTTCTTCGAACAGCGCGACGAACCTGATGTTTAAACCGATTTGAGGAAGAATGTAATCAGACAGGAGATTAAGCTTACGTATGATTAAACCTGTCGTTGGTTCAAGATTTTTTCTACGACGCGGTACCGTTTTTGATAGTGGCGTTCTGGAGTAACACATATTGAAGTCAGACGCCAAATACGCCACCTACAACGATCTGTGTTCCCGTGCTTGGCCAACAACCTTGGAACGTTGGATTAGGTACTTACATGTTGTGGGGGAAAAGCAATATGTGTGTACTACCTTATTTAGTCCTTGCCTGCAGTATCTTGATAGATTTAGCTATGAGTTGCACCACGCCGGTGGTTTACCATTGCCTCGGGACCAACTTTAGACATTCTGTAATATACGAGACACGATAACATCACTTTGCATGTACTTAAAATTTACTTTAACGTATTCTATTCTGGCTTCCTGCGGGCAAAATCGCAATATGACGAAGCTTCTATCGAGAGGGACGACCAACCCCATATATTAGCCCTTATAAGTAGGACCATGCAAAGGTCGATTTCTATGATTAGGATAATGTAATCTGATACTGGAAAGGTCAGAATTCTGCCTCGTAAGATCCCTGCCCGCTCGTGCAATTTTTGGGGTTCAACTATGATACCACCTCCCTCAATGCTTATGCTGGTAACCGTGAGTGCTATGTTCAGCCGCGCAAATGACGACGCAAAAAAACTTGATCAAAGAAAGGAATTTAGTATGTACGGTGTTGGCACCAATACTTTATATCATCCATGACCGCGTTTAGAAAAAATGCAGACCATCGCGACAAAATCCCTTGTCGCCCGCTCCCTAATCTCCTGGGATATCTCCGTAGAACGCCACCATATCAACACAAATCGTAACCTAAAGTTTATGCAACGAAGAGAAGAAAGAAGAAAAGAAGAAAAGTCTCTCCTTAGTAGCCGGGTTTGCCAGGCATCGGAGGTAGGCCGTGTCCCGTGCTCATAGGAGGTAAATGGTTGTGACAGAAGATCTTGTTTGCACCCGACTTCATCCAGTCTTTCTTGGAGGCATCAATAAACTTGGTGGGATCTTCGTAGCTTTCCAACTGGCAGCACTCCACGTTCTTCATCCACCTATTCGACATAACTTCACTCATCGTGATGCGCTTCTCCGGGTTGGGATTGAGCATTTTCAATAGCAGACGTCGAAGAGGTGCCGGTCTGACGCATACCTCAAATGCAGCAACTTTGGGATAGGTATCATCGCCGATTGCACTAGGGTCCGCTTCTTTCTTGGCATTGATCTTTGTCCAACCATTATTGAGTTCGTTATACGTTTTTTGACTTGGGGATGTCAAGCCTGCCTGCGCTTTCTCCCACAAGTTGGCATTGAAGACAAGGTACAGCATGACGATAGCCGAACTCCAAACGTCCAAGGCGCGGGGATCATAGTCAACACCCTTACTAAGGACTTCGGGGGCTATGTACGGGAGACTGCCACAGATACCAGGTTTGCAAAGACGAATGTCACCCATACCCACACCGCACTGGCCACCGGCTTCCCGCAGACCAGGATGTATACCGGAGAAGACTTCAGAAACACCAAAATCCGTTATCTTTAGTTTGCTATCTTTGGTGATGAGCAGATTCTCCAGCTTGATATCTCGGTGGGCGATGCCATTCGAGTGCAAATAGTTGATTCCTTGGCAGAGCTGCTTGAACAAGCACATACGGTCAATTTCGCGAGACTCTTCTCGAAGATACTTCTTGGAAACTAGACCGAAAAGGTCACCTTCGGAACAGTACTCCATTACATGATTCCAACGTCCATGGTCAGTACACAAGCGAATAGTCTCGACGATGTTTGGATGATGTAAACTCTTTGCGATGCTATACTCGGATTTTATCTTCTTCTCATACTCTTCGGTAGTTTCCGACGAGCTCTTGGAGCGGAATTCCTTAACAGCGTACAGTTCACCAGGATTACCCTTGCGGACCATAAGAGTAACTTTTGACGTTGCGCCTTTACCCAAGTGCTTTCCGTGGCGACCTAGGAATTTGTGCTGGTATTCGAACTCTTTTGTGAGATCTGCAACATCAACCGTGAAGTCGTCGGGAAGACTGAGACTTAGTCTCCTGGCCTTCATGCCAGTACCGGCGTCTGGGGGAATTGCCCATGGCTGTCTTGTTAGTTCCTCCTCGTTCTTCTTCTTTCGTTCTAGACTCTTTGTTCGTCGGTGTGAATGAGTCTTAGTCGATGCAAACCCTACTACTCTGTTGCGAATAGAAAGGCCCGTGTTCGCTCTGGCTTTTTTAGAGTTGTTTTCTAAAAAGTCACGCGAAGTGGGTATAGACGCGTTATTGGACTTTTCGTGTGAATTAGGAAGCGATTCTGAAGGAGAGGCAGGTGACGGCGGGGTGTTAGATCTTGTCGATACGACTGAGCGGTGATAAGAGAAGCGACGACGGCTTGCATTTGGGGTTACCCTATTGGTAGAGGCAAGAGTGGAATCAGATGTCTCTCCATTATAATTGGGTTCTCTAAACTCCGTTGTTACACTGCCGTCCCCCACGTGGTAACTGTTGCGCTTAAAAATTGACGCCATCCTGGATAATGCGGACGAGGAACGTCGCGCAATAAATCTTACTGGAGCTGTAGTTGTTGACGGACGCCGATCTGAATTAGGTCGACTATATTCAGATTGTGTTGTAAATGGTCTATTTAATGGTTCGTGAGAAACAACTGGTGCGATAGACGTAGGTGACAATGGTGACAATGGTGTAACTTGCGATGGTGGAGGAAGGGTAACAATTGAAGGAGGAAATAAAAGAGCCGGGTTCGTGACGTCTTTATTTACAGCAGTGAGGGAAACATCGGAATGCTCTTGAACACCTGATGCAGAAGCAGCGAGACCATTAGTAATAGAGTCGTGACGCAGGTAAGTATCGTTCTGTTCGCAATAGCGAAAATCCCGTGATTGTCTCCCGCTAATTGGTGTATCGGGTTCGTTGGAAAAAGATTCACTACAGGTCTCTTCGGTTTCCTCGTCGTGCTCCTCGGGGATTGGACCTGTAAGGTCTAGAGGATAACGCCCCAACGACTCAATTGGAGTCTGACTGTTATTAGAACAGGCGGAAGTAGAGGTAGTTGTAGTATTTGTAGTATTGAGAGAAGTAATAGAAGGTGAAGGAGAGATATCTGTAGGTTTAAAAGTTAGTTTGTTAATTATAAATTTATTTGAAGGTTAAGAATTTTACAAAGAGTGGATTGGGGAGGCTGAATATACCTAAAGGAGTTGTTGATGCAGATGACGAAATGCGAGTAACAAAAGTTGCAGCGTCACCTGCTGTTATTGCGGTGTCAAAGGAAGAGGGATGCAACGACTGGCTTGAAGCGGGTGAATGCGAGTTATCGGAGGGCAACAGCGATGACATCGCCGGGGGCAGGGTCTTGGTTTGGGTTTGTGGGGCTGCCATTGTTATAAATTGATTGGTACTTTCGTACCGATCCAGTTAAACCAATTTTAGTACAATACCAGTACAATAAGTACAACAAGTATAACAAGTACCTCCCTTAGGCCTAGGTGTAATTATGGCAGGGCGCTAGTCTCAGGGCGATGCTAGGCTTGCTTTGCCAGGTGCCAGATGCCAGGTCAAAAAAAAAAAAAAAAAAAAAGTCAGGAGCTGGAGGAAATAGGCTTAGCTTAGGTGGGAAAAGCCTATGTACCTAGGTAAGTTAGGTAAGTTAGGTGGGAAAGGCTTTAGCGGGGGTCAGAATCGGTGGGATAATGATGACTGTTAATGACCTATTTGTAAATGGCTGTAAATGGGCGGAGGGTCGCAGATTAAGTGGAAGCAGCTGACAAAGTTGGTTGGGACGTATGGCGGGACTTCGGCCGTGATTCGAACTTTTGAAGCGTTATTTTCCGTGTTGCTTCAAACTTAGACTTAGAAGGGCCGTAAAATCTTGGATTCCTATCCGAAAAGGTAGACTGATCCGGTAAGGCACACCAGCCCATATCCTAGCTTAAGGTAGCCTTTTTTATTTTTTATTCTTCTATCAAGGTCAAGCCAAAAGGACTGAACTAGCGGCTTAGGCTTAGGCTTAGGCAAGTTCAGACTAAGGATCACTTCTCACTTATTGACTGGATGGAGAACCCTCGGTAGTCGGTAGTCGGAGAAGTAACTCGGTCGATTCGGGTTTCCGATGACGTTCTTTGTTCTTTGTTCTTGCTGGTTGGTGAAGAAAAGCATTCGATATTTTCTTCTCTCTTAAGTCCTAAAAGCGGCTGAACAATACCGGCCTAGTATAGTTTGTGGTAACCTCGACGGGACGCCAGAAACAGTAACCGATCCTTCTAGTTTTCGGAGATGTGGTCGTCAAATCTCGTACATCGAAGAAGTCCGAGGTAAAAACTAAGAACGGAAAGATAGAAGGGTCCTAGAAATGTGGCTTGGCTGTGTCCTTCTTCGAATGTTCGATGCAGGTGCTCGACGGGTAGGTGGGTGGTGGTTATGGTTTAATAATAAATGTAGTATGCTGCAATGTCGTGGGTTGCACACACCGCGGAAGTATTATAATAGGGTCCAGAGATCTACGTTCCCTGAATGCCAAGGCAAACAGCGATGAAGAGGAAGACAAGGAAAGATTCGGGAGGGGATGGAAGCCGGTATTATAATAGCAATTGCAAAGTTAGGTTAGGGGCTGAATTCTTGACATGGTAGTGAGCGTTATAGTCTGTATGTAAGTCGAAGCTTGTGGGCACTTTTGTTGATCTTTGGCCCAAGTCGTAATGTGCATGCGAGCAACCCACTACTACGGTACCCTAGCTCGCAGCAAAGTGCGAAGTACGAAAGGCCTCTGTAAATGTAGATGTAGATGTAGATGTAGTCAAGGTAGTATAGTACGCCAGTACAAGAGAGTAAAGATAACCTATACTAGCTAGCTGCAGAGGACCCTGCGGAGACGGGGCTAGAGGAAGCGGCCTGCAGGAAGGTTGATGTGTGGCCCGGTCAGGATCAAACTTAGGTAGGTTTGAAGTTGGGGTGGTTGTACTAGGGAATATGTTATGAGTGTATAAAATGAATGGCTGTAAGTGGGAGCAGTGGGTAGCACGGCGGCGTGGGGAGAATAAATGTCGACTTAAGTTGTAACTTAAAAATCCCAGGAGTGAGGAGGAGGACAGAAAAAAGACTCAAAGTCCAATTCCCAAGGGGCGATCTAAGATACTAGTACTTCTTTAATTTTGAGTCTCGGACTTTCAAAGCACTTGGCATACATTGCTTCAGCGGCATCATACATAGTGCTTTGTGTCGAAATATGGCTCTGGCTCCCTTGAGAACCTGAGTTGAGTAGGACATGTGTGCGCAGTAATTGCGCGGCAAAATCCATGCGTGCCTTGGCAAAGTCGACCATCGTCTACTGTAATGCGAGTATGTATGTACATACACCATCTACAATCCAGTACCTTAGTACTATGTATAGATCGATGGGTCTGAATGGAGAACGTGAGATTACGATATCGACTAGTAGTTCAGCATAACTCACGTCAAGCACGCCTAGTGTCGTAATACATGTAATCAAACCGTGGTGGGAGCGGGAGGTACCATAACGGGTATCGTATACTTCCTAGGGACACCACTGCGGCGAAACGGGGATAATGTGGAGGGAGACACTTCATAGCTAGTATTTACTACGGTATTATTCGTTAATTTGAAAAGGCTCTAATGTACCATTTAATCAAAGAATTATCTCTAGCTGTTTCTTGGGTCCTTGGAGACCCCAGAGAGCCCCAGCTCAGAGTGGGCGTCGCTATCGTGTAAGTGGGTAAGCCAGGGGCGCTATTCCCACATCAATCACCGGAGGGTCAAAATGTCTTCATAACTTTATGCTCGATTACAATTCTGTAAAAGTAATAGGAATGAATAGCATTGGTCAAGAGTGAAACCCGATTGGAACGTCTTAAAAGTCTAGTGTAAATCAAGAAGCAAGATATCAGGGCACAGTAATAATAGTATACAGAATATGACGTTCTCTGGCTCTATTTTCATCCTCAGATGACCGGTGCTTTCCAAGTTATCTGGTAGCAACGTGACAGGTATCTACCAAAGGACACTGCAGCGAAAATCGTAGGCATATGGGTAGATCTCGTGTACCCATCTTCTTCGACATCTGTTCTAGAAGATATGAAGCCAAGACGAATTCCCCCTCTTTGCAGTTACCAGTACTTCCATTCGCTGCCAAGGATACGTTTTTTGTGCCAATTACATATTTTGCGAGTTGGCCAAAAGAGATTACCAGAAGACTCGAAAAAAGTGATTGCCGTTGGTGAGTTTCTTGGCTGTGTAATTCGGTCCTCAGTTATGTTCGGAAGCAAAAACCATTGGCAATACCAAGAAACCTTCATCTATTTGCTGGTTCAGACCAAGGCCTTGGCGTCGCGCGTCCGACCCAGCCACTACCCTACGTCTCGCGCCCGCCAAGAGCCGGTGATTTTTACATCCGCCATTAGAAGAATGAAGCTTGCGCTAATAATAATAGAAGCGGTTTTTGATACTAGACGCCAGAAGCATTCGCAAGGAATCATGATTATCGACTACGCTACGAGTTTCGATCGAGATGATGTAAGTGTTCAAGCTTCAGACGCCACTGAACCCCTTTAGCAACGTAGAAATAATAGCCAGATGCAATTACGAAGAAGCCAGCTTATTCGCCAAAAATTTTTGTCGTGTAACGAGGATAAACATCCATCGTTGGAATGGTGACACGAGCCAGTCTCTTCAACGCCCGATCCTACATGCGTCATATCAGGTGTGAACACCTATGTAGATGATGATCTATGAAGCCAGTTTATCTACATATCTAGGTACACACTGTTCCAAAAGTTACTGATCAACAATAGCCACATAGCTCATCGTCGCAAGGTAACTAACTGGTGCGATAGCCGATGGGATATGAGTTTGTTTCGCTCGACCGGAACACTTAAGTTCGTGCTATGAATCTAGGCATCGGCATTAACCTAAGATATCCCGATGAATATCTGTCGATAGAAACGCCAAGGCCAATCGATCATCGTTATTGTTCATTAGTTGATGCGCCGAGCATTGGCAGATGTGTTTAGGGAGATATTCTTGGATCCCGCCTTTCCAACCGTTTCGGTCTTGACAGTTGTCTCTATTAACGGTCTTCGGTCCATTGCGTACCCAACGAGGCTTATCAAGAAGATATGATCATTCCGAGACGCTCCGAGCGCGGCTGCGGTATGTGTCGTCGTCTGGTTGCGCGGCGCCGCATTTCCGCCCCTTTCGTGATTTGCCCACCTTACCGGGTCCTTTCCTAAGCGGGTTTTGATTCCCACTGGAGGATCTCTAGATCTACCCAAAACGACATAGATGGACGACATGCCTTACTAGACCCTTGAATTGGACATCACTGCAGGGCTCGCGACATATAGTCATAGTTTCTATCTCGATTCCCAGTTTAAACTACGACAGAATGGTATTAACCTATCATCCAAGCCACGGGCGGCAGGGTACCAACTAGATTTGCCAGGCATTATCTAGCCATTATCTAGCATACCATATCATTCGCCACAAATGCTTAGGT